AATATAATGTACGCGTTCGTAAACTTCTCTACTCAACAAGACGTTTTAGACTTTTACTGTTCACTGAGAATGTATTTAAATTACAATATCTCTTTGTAGAAGTAATAATTACGTGAAGCTCATATTTTTTTTCTTTCTTTTTTTTTTTTTTTCCAAATTTTTATTGATTTTCGAAATTTTTTGTAACATTACAAAAACAACAATCATACAAGAATTAAATAATTGTATAACATTAAAAGAACAATAATCAAATACGAATCACTGTAACATTACCCCCCCCCCCCCCCCCCCCCAAAAAAAAAAAAAAAAAAAAAAAAAAAAACAACAATCAAACAAACAAACAAACAGACCTGATGTAATAACTAAAAAATCAGTCTCGGGTGGTTTGAACTATATCATTATCAAATATAATTATGGATAATTAAAATAAATTCTCAATAGGGGACCATTTTCTATAGTGCATGTTTTCTTTGTGCTTTTGTTTAGCAATTACCAATTCTATATGTCTGATTTTGCAAATGAACGTTTCGAAACCTATGAAACTTATTACTTAATTCCTGCATTTCTGAATATAAATGTATCTCTTCAATAAGATAATTAAGTGATTTAATAATATTTTATGTGGTCCCTTCCAATCCTTTATGAATCCAAACATAGATAGATCCTCATATCTGACAGATAGCTTTAGACCAATTTTATTGAAGCTCATATTTTTAATACAGTATAGCCCCCTTACATAAAGAGGATAACATGCTTTGGTATTTTATCGACGAAACACAAAGAAATTATTCAAGAAATGTTAAAGTTATAACTATTTATTTAATTACTTTTGTCTTTCTTATTATGTTAAAATGTAAATTGATGTAAATATGTATGAAATATGTGAAATAAAACACCTCGGCAAGAGGACAAAGAAAAAAATAACATGCTCTGGTGATTGGTTGCCTTGGGTTGATTTTTCGCAAGTCTGTGCGATCGTCTTCGAAAGTTTTAAGTTCATATACAGTTGTAGGAGATGGATGAAGTCATCTCGAGGAGGATGAATCAGGCTGAGAAACATCAACATGTAGCTATCATCACGTGGTTTCAGCAGAGCCCCCTGTACAAACGCTTCTTCCATCAGGGGCGGCGCCAGGAGAATTTCAAACGGGACACATGTCTAAAATATGTACCCCCCCAAAAAAAAAAATTGTCTTTTAAAGCATGTCTGTAAAATCATAGGGGACTATACCCCCCCCCCCCCCCCCCCTCCCTCCACTTTTTGACGCAGCCCCTGCCAATTGGCAATTGATGTAACACACGTGTGACTATATATAGTCAATTTTTCCGGGGGGCATATGAAATGAAAATATGCATATAATGTAGATTATTATATACCATTAGCGTTTCGAACAAAGGTGGCGTGCCCCCAATAATAAATAAATAAAAGAAAAAGATAGAAAGATAGAAAATGATGAGACAAAAATAGAGAGGTCTATAAGAAGAAGAAGAAAAAAAGCTGTCCAAAAATAAACACAGAATGGGGATCATTATTTATTTTGTAAAATCGAACGCCCTGCACTGCTGTATATACCCGCCCGCATCTTGAAGAACTGTATCATCATACTTTTTTCTTCTTTTATTTTTTAATTTTTCGATTTAATCTTTGAAATATTTGCAAGTCTTGAAGTTGAATATCCTGTTTGATTATTTCACCCCAACAAATGCATATTCCACAAAGACAAGTTTATGTTAATCCAGTCTGTTCTGTTTCTATCTTTAATGGAGAGAAACAACCGTGAAACAAAATAAAACATCACCGCTAATACGCCATGTAATCCCGTACTATCCAACCTCTCTACCATTAATACCAGAGGAAGGAACAATGCCTCCCCCTCCCATTCCTCCTCCTAAATCACCTCGGGGACAATCCACTCATCCTTCCCCATCTCGGTTAATCCCTGCCTCCTCGCCATCTTGACGCCTTCAATCTGCTAAATCGACTGCGATGACATCGTCAGCCCATCCTATACAAACACGGCGCCATCCACCATCTCTACACTCTGAGAATAGTCTGGCTACGAGGCAGAATTAGCAGTTCACAATGATATTTTTATTCTCGAGGTAGAAAAGAGAAATCCTATGCTCAACCAGGGACATGCTACTTTTCAAATCGACTACTGAACAAATATAATTATTAGGGCCCAGTACAGAACCTTGGGGAAAACCAATCGAAGTAAGATAATGTAAATTGAATTGTTTCACGAAATCATTGCCAAAAATGTGGAAAGGGGGAAGAGTTTTCATGCGTGAACGATGGTAGCGTCAACCCGGGGGAGGTACTCAGATTTGGTTTGATGGGGATATGCCGCTCAAGCCTAGAAACCCCTTTATTAAGGGTCATTTTTAGAAGAAAAGGGCACTTCTTTTTTTCTTTTTTTTTGGTGGGGAGGGGAGGGGGGTTCTCAAAATAAAGGCCAATTTTCATAATTTTCTGGTGTTCGCCATGCAAACACCCAAACATTTTCGAAATTTTGGAAAAAACGGACCCATGTTTAATAATATTTTTGCTAAAAAAGGGGACCAATGTTTAGGGATATTTCGTGAAAAAGCTATACTCGCTATCAATCAAACAGTGTCAAAATACTTTAGTGATTATAATACACATCATGCATGTTATCAGTAAACAATATAGCATTAACAAGCCGTGAAAATAAATAGGTTAATTATGTAATTATAAACTATTGAACTGTATATTCAAACCACCCACCTCCCCCCCCCCTCCGAAAACGCTGTTTTTCGTTGTTGTTCATCATCAAAGTTAGTTATGTTATAATCAAAGAATGCGTGGTATAAACTGTTTTCAAAGGACTGTAGGGATTTTGAAACTCCGTTCACATAACCACCACTGAACCACATGTATAGCATTTTATTGAGAAGATAGTGTTAAACAGTTGAATATTTAGTTTTTTTTTTCTTCCTACTATTCTAAAAACACTGAAAAAAGGGTTCTTAACCTCAATTGCGATCACAATATACCAAGACAGGGTTATATCTGGCTGTCTTAAATCAGGTTAACATCTCTCTTGCCATGGAAAAAACGCAGTGGTGTAGCGTGGGTTGAGCTACTTAGGGGGCGCTGTCACCATAGGGGGGGGGGGGGACTAGCGTCATTAAGGAGCCCCAGTGTTTAACTCGGTGAATGAATTTTCAAATAACAATGCCACCGTCTGGGACAGCTACGGAAAGAATGGAGTCTTATGGGAGGAAGATCCTATTTTGTGATTTTGTCTCCTTTTTGTTTTCTTGGCATTTGATGGAAGTGTGGGCATGTGCCCCTCATATCATGCTCTCTGGTATCTACGCCATGCATGTAGGATACCTCAATCTTCGAAGATGAGATCGCTTTAATCAGGGCTGATAGTCGTGTCACCTGACACCATTGCGTGGTAGGTTGGCGATGGATTGGGTTTGTTGTGTTCTCGGCCTTGATCATCATGATCGCGGCTGGTATCATCCCGCTTACCTCACTGTTTGTACAACGATGATAGAGGAGGGGGAAGTGAGGGGGAGGGAGGAGAGTGGAAGGGGAGATGGAGGGGAGGGGGAAGGAGGGAAGGGGAATCGACGTCATTTTCTTTTTGTTGGTGAGCGTAGGGGTCCCCTTTGATTGATGCGCACTCTCCTGGTGTTCCAGTTCGAAAAATTAATGATGGAGGGGCAGTTTAAAGAAGGGGTAGGGTGGAGAGGAAGATTGATTGGATGAAAGGGATAGGCAGTTCGACGATGAGAGAGAGGGGGGGGGGGGAGAAGAGAGACAGACATACAGAGAGAGAAAGACAGATACACCGAGAGAGGGGTGGGGATATTGGCAAGGTATTTGTGTTCTCGGTTCCTGATAATCATCATCGCTTGCATCATCCCTCTCACCTCCCTGTTTGTACAACGACTGTGAACGTGGATGATGGAGAGGAGATGGAGGGAAGAGGGCATTCAAAGCATTCTTATTTCCTAGGGGGCCGGGGCAGTGGATATAATTTCTTATAAACACGAAATGAACCGAAACATCCTCAATGGACGGACTTACCGTTTCCTGAAACAAGATTGGGTCTGGAGCATGTAAAAAGTTTTAAAAAAGGCCTCCTCGTGACTGCAAAAGGTAGGGGAGGGAGATTATTGTGATAGTTCGAGAGGTTTACGGCTAGAAGAAGAGAGAGAGAGAGAAATATTTATTAGGTTTGTGTTCTCACGTCTCGATCATCACCATGGCTAACATCGTCCCTCTCTATTCCTTGTTTGTACAACAGTTAGACGCCAGAAAGCTAGGATGATAGAGGGAAGAATTAAATTAAAACCATCTTTTTTTTGTGGGGAGGGGGGGGGGGGGGGGAGATGGACCGTGTTTCGGATCGCATCCTGGCCATGGCCTACCTATCAGTACAAAAAATATATCTATAGTTTTTTTACGAAAAGTCCGAAATTATATTTGAGTCATTTTTCTTTACAGGGGTGCCTGCCCCCCCCCCCCGAAATTATTATTATTGGATATAGGGTGATATGCTCAGGGGAGGGAGAGAGAGAGAGAGAGAGAGAGAGAGAGAGAGAGAGAGAGAGAGAGAGAGAAGAGGTGGAAGGGGGGGGGAAAGGTACATGAGTTGGTAAACATGGATTAATGCAAACACAAAGATTCATAATCAGAGGGATATGCAAGGTCAAGAAGACAGTGGAGACGAAGATAATTTTGTTGACGTCAGTCTTTCTCTGTCGGGGGGGGGGGGGGGGGATGATTTGCGATGACTAGGTAAACACTTTGTTAAGTTATCTTAGCAACGAATTTGCTCAATATATTCATTCAAGTAATATATATATATATATATAGATATATATACATAAATAAGTTGTTAAGTAGTAATAATGATGATTCAAAATTGAAATCAATATTTCATTACATGCATGAGCATGAAGAGTCGAGTGCAGTCGAAGTCGTATGCATTAACGCCCTCTGTAGTTCAATATGGAAATATAACAACTTTGAAAATTTGACGCGCGATATATTTCGCTGAAATGTCGAGTCAAAATAATAAAAAATCTTGGACATTTGTCCCGAAAAGGTCTCAACCACCAACAAACAAGAGAGCCACGTAAGTATCAAAACAAATTTCGAACTTTATGAACCTTGTTTTTGTGGAGAAACTTGGAAAATCCGTAAATTCTTACTCAGGTATCTACGCCCTGTCCCACGTATTGGAAAATAAGTTAGTCATTAACCCACATCCACAGTTACTATTCAAATTGAGAATCTGTCGTTTTCACTCATTTATTTTAGTTTTTTCCCGAATTTTTTTTTCTGTCTACGGTACATTCTAAAGGAAAATTTAAAGGAGATCCTGATGCTCGTATTGAACTGAAAATCTAGAATTCTAGATCTGAAAATTTGAGTTTTTATTTTATTTTGTTTGGTTTTTTAATTAATAAAGATCAAATTGAATTTTAAATAAAATGTGAGTGCAACTACAAGCACTATCGTTATTTATTTAGTAAAGGCATAGACTACATGTATATATAAAAGGTTCTTACCAAGTGTCCACTATATAGTCAGGACAACCTTGTAAAAATAATAATTTTTTTCAATCAATAAAAATCTACGGTGAAGATCTGAAAATGGTGAATTTGATTTTTGTTTTTCTATTTCAATGATAATAATATAGTCTAAGCCTATTTGTTGTTTTTTTAGTTGTTTATGTGTTAACTTTGCAAAGTGAAAGAGATCTATTATTACAATCAGACCGAATTTCTAAACGATCCAATCAAAGTGCGAAAAATCCTTCGTGACCTTTCCACTGGGCCATTTATTACTGAGCACTGGCTGGCGCTATCCTTGCATATCTTGCCACTTTTAATCTCATACAAAATCAAGAGAGGCTATTCTTCTAGTTCTATCCTTACTGTAGGTGGAACAAATGTATGGTGTGTTAAATTATAGATAAATTTGATTGTATATGCGTGGCGTGGAAAGCCTCATTTATTTCTTCTTCTTTAAAAGTGACTGTAACATTGTTGAAGGTTGATAAAAAAATTGCTTAATTTTTGTATAAAATGTTACTTATTATATTTCTTCTACTGTACTAAACCTCTGACATGCAAAAAAATCATGAAAAATTCTCAAACCACAAAGATATCTATGGTTTTCTTTGAAGGCGTCACTGTGCAACACCCTCTAACAGTGATTAACAGTAAATTCTCCCAACCATTTTTGAATTTTCCCAATCGTTTTTTCTTGATAAAAAGACTTAAAACAGGCTATTAAAAATCTGTCAACACTTAAATGTCTGGAATGGTATGTAGAGCCAATTTATTGCTTTGTGACGATTTGCATTCACCTAAAAATGTAATTAAATTGTAATAAATATAGTTGGGACAATTAAGGAATCGATCAGATCAGTTTTTCCCAATTTGTATCATTAACAATGGTCCGTTTTCAATTTCTTTAATTGTACATCTAGCATTGAAGTAACTACTTTAGCACCACTATCTCTCATCTAAACAATGTTTCCAAGTCCCTTTAAGGCTTAATTTTGTTGTTATTTTCTAATCTTGATGGCAACATCTCCATTTGAAAAGAATTTCTAAACCCTTCTTGAGGGTTGGCATAGAAATCCAACTTTACCCAAAAATGTATGATTATTTCTTCAATTTGTTCAGATATTCCATACCAAAATGGTAAAGAAAGGCTTTTCAGGATAAAAGAACTGAGAGAAGTCTGACTCTAAAGATCATTAATATACTTTATTAATATACTTTATTTGGAAGACCCAAAGACATCTAGAATTAGAAGATTTCCAAATTCCAGATTGGCCATGAAATGTCGCAACTCGCAAGCTTAAAAAAAAACTTCCAGTTGACTTCTTTATGACATTTGATGTTATTTTAATTTTTTTCAGACGGCGTGAAACTACCCTTCGGGCCTTCACCTTTGTGCAAGACTGGGATCCTAAAATATCCCCCATCCCACCATCTATCAACAATGCAAGTCAGAAAAAGGTATGAATTCATTCCTGTGGTGTAGTGTAATGCATGTTATCCCTTTAAAGATAGTTTTGTTTCCATATACCAAGTAATTCCATTTAAAGGGGAAGTCCACCCTGTTATTAAGTTGGTTTTAGTAGAAGCAGAAAAATGAGAGAAACGGATCAGAGAAAGTTTGAGTAAATTCTGAAAAAATAAGAAAGCTATGAATTTTGAAGTTGTCATCAGTGAAACACAATTTGGCAACACTGACATATCTTTTAAGCTCCTTTCCATTTCGTTCTGTACAGAAAATTTCATAAACTTTCAATTTGTTAGTTATTGATGTTAGGATTTAATTTATTTATACAGGGGTAGGGTTGCATACAAATATAGTTCAAATAATCATCTTTAGGATGAATGTGTGATTAAAAACTTTCTTAAGGGAAAATATAGATTTTTGAACTTTTTTGGTACAGGGCAAATGGGAGGGGAGCTCACGAGATACATGTACCGTAAATCTCCTTGTATGAGATGCACCTGTGTATAAGATTCACCCCTATTTTTTGCCAACTTCATAGGCAGCAAGCCAGGTCCGTGTTCAAAAACCCATGTAGGGAAGGACCTTTATTTTACTGCGAGGTGTAGTTGAAGGCGCCGATTTGTACTTGTGAACTTGTCACAAATAATAGTAACAATGTCGTTTTGAAAACAGGAGATGACGAAAGTCCAAACAGAAATCTGGCCATACAGGAAGTGTTATTCTAGTTTCATGTGGTGAGGCAACACCTTGTATGACTGAGCTGGGAGACATTGCCAGGCACAGTGCAGGTGGAGGGGCATAAATCGACACTGTTGAAGAACACTTTTGTGTACCTGTGTATAAGATGCATCCCCGACTTTCGTTGTAGTTTTTTCGGCGGGAAAAAAAGTGGGTTTTATATAAGGCTGCGACGGGTAGTCGAATGCTCGAGTACCCGCACGGTTGACAACTACTCGGGTACGATTTCTTGTACCCGAATATTCGGCCGCAAAAAAAAAAAAAAAAAAAAAAAAATGTCCAGGCCCACGCTTACCCGTGCCAGGGAGAGCAGCGTCCGCTGGCATGGTACCGTCGGTAAAAATGTTTCCCAACTCAAGCACTGTCAAACTCACCTTTCAGAAACTGGGACCAAATGTCCAGATTTCTGTTTGGACTTGGAGGAAAATGGATTATTCTGCCATCTTTGGTTTTTAAAACAGCATTGTTTACTGTTATTATTCTTATTAAATCGGCGCCTTCAACTGCAACTCAAAGTAAAGTTGCATGCGTTTTCAGCGAGCTGCGCGAGGGACCTGAGAAACTGCCGAGTGGTATGGTAGTGGCAAAAAAAGAAAAAAAAGGAAAAAAATCCAAAAATCCAAAAATTAAAAAAAAATCAAAAAAATTAAAAAAAATTAAAAAAAATTAAAAAAAATTCAAATTTTGTTAAAAAAATTATAAAAAAACATGGCGTCCGAATATTCGAGTATTCGCCTGTGAGCCTGGGAGTGTACTCGGGTACCTCATTACACTGTTGTGCACAGCCCTAGTTTTATACACATAGACTTACGGTACATCACATGTACATTCAATGGTTATTCTGTTTTCCCAAACCATTTGTTATAAATTGATTTTTATTTCTTTTCACTTTTTATAGCAATCTCACAAGAAAAATAGGAACCAACCCACTTCATCCCAGTCTTCTGAGAGTTCCATCCGAGAGTCCCCCGTCGCTCAGCTTGTTAGGTCCAGCCCTGGACCTATCATTGTGTCCCGGAGGATCCCAGGTGAGGTAGTGGGATGGGGAATTGATGTATAGTCCTGGTCCCATAATTTACAAGGCCCAAGATCCTGCCTTGGACTAACATTTGAAACATGAAAGTCTCATGTTATATTATCCTCCTATAATCAAAGTGTATTCTTAATTGCCTATACAGACATGACGAAAAGACACTGTTGTTAATATTCATTATAAGATGATGAACCGGATCCTAATCAAATGATTGGTTGAGAGTATACAAGGGACCAGGCATTTATTTTGCCCAACACATAATTTTACTAATGACTGGTCATTAGTAAAATCATGTTATAAAACATCATCTTATAAAACAAATAATACACATCATTTTGTTTGGGCATTAATAAAATTACCCACACTCGGTACCTTCAAAAGAGTCCGAACACCTTCGGCTATCGCCTCGGGCGTGTTAGACTGTTCCAAAGGTACCTCGTGTGGGTAATTCTTACTAATGCCCTCACTGCTGTGTATTAGTTGTATACTATCAAACAAAACTAAAGATATCTGGCAGAAAGTGTTTTAGGAATAAACAAAAACCACTCATGAGCCCAAAGCTTGAGCTTAAACTGCAGTGTTGTGTATTTATCTTTCATTTTTCTGTTCGTTCAAACAGGTTCTGGAAACAGCTCATTCAAGCACCCTCGTCCCCTGTCACCACAGACACCATCCGTACCCTCACAAAGATCTTCATCGTCAAAACAACATAGCTCATCTAAAAGCCTTACTGACAGTGCTCAAACAGTGTCTGGAAAGTCTGGTGTGAGTCCCATCTTCTCAGTTCCAAGAACAAGGAAACAGCGAAGTGCCAGTAAGAAAAGGTCACCAGTCTCTCATGGTGGGGAGGAAGAAATTGCAATTTCCCCAGGAGCTAGCGAAAGTGGTAATGAAAATTGGGTGCAGGACACGGACATTGCGGGCACTTCAGGTGTCAGCAATGCTGCCGGTACTTCCCGGCTACAGGAAAGTGTCATTGACAATGTTGGATCAAGCGATAGAGTGCAATCAAGGTCTTCAACAGCCAAAAAGAACAAGGGACATGACAGAAATCTTTCAGAGACTCCAAACGATGTGAGCAAATCTCAAAGTTCAGGATCAGAAGGGTCTACGAGATCCACAAGGTCGAGAAAGAGACGTGGTCCGAGCTTGACCTTTCGAAAGATAAGAAAAGCAAGCCTATCATTTAACAAGTCTATCAGTGTGCTTGATAGTATCAATGAAACAGTTCCTTTGGATAATGAGGTAACGGAGCAGTTACATGTTTCGTCAGCCTCGGATGATGAACATGATGAACACCAACCGACAACAACAATTCCACGGAAAAGGCAAGGTTCAAGTTTGATTTCCAAAGAGGGAAGTGCTAAAGGAAAGACTAGACAACCGTCCCACGAAGATGATGGTGACTCTACTGATGTTCCAGTCGAAAGCGATGTGCCCACGCCGGGAAGTGTCAGGGTTTCTCAGAGTCTCTCCAGTACAAGTGATCGCAGTAGGTCTACGAGCCCTCGTAAAAGGCGGGGGCCAAAACTGACATTTGTAAAGAAACATAAAAAGAAACTTAGCACCACTCCACAAGATGGGGAAGTAAATACTGAAATACATTCCTCATCATCTTTGTCAAGGACTGGGAGCAGAAGAAAAATATCTTCAAATTCTTCATTGTTAGATAGAAGCAGTCCAGAGGCAGTCCCGAAGAGGAAATCCCCAAGCCTTAGGGATCAGAAATCTGGAGCTAGTAGTGCCAGGACTCCAAAAGGAAAGCGGTCTTCCAGGTCATCAAGGTCTGACAGTAGCAGTTCTGAGGCAGATTCTAGAACAAAGTCCCTTAGTCGGAGAGGTCCTAGATCAGCAGGGAGTAGTGCCAGGACCTCAAAGGGAACACCTGTTTCAAAGAAGAAGAAGAATGTCGCATCCAAAATCATATCAAAGGCAGTTGGAAAGACGCCAGATAGGTCTATCGTAAGATATCACCTTGTTTAACTTCTTTTTTAATAGAATGCTTATTTGTAGGTGATTGGTACCCTTGAATAATTCTTATTTATTTTTAGTTTCGTACCAGCATTGATTTATCCAAGAGACAGGGCTTAAATTAATCCAAGGCCACCAAGGCCATGGCCTTAGATGCCCCTTTCATTGGCCTCAATGCCCCTCTCATTGGCCTTGGAGATTTTTTGTGCCCTTTTCAATTCTTCCTATTTGTGCTGTAATATAGGAATGTGCCCTACAGAAAAGTGGCCTTGCCCTAAAAATATTGAAATTTAAGGCCTGAAGAGATGTACCTGTGGTTGACTTAGGTGATCCTACCTAGAAAGTTATTGCATGGGCAGTGCTTCTCATAGATAGTTTATTCATTGACCTTTAACCGTGTTCAGAATTGACCCATTTTTTAACTTGACCTGTAATGCCATCTGAATCTACTGAGGCATTTTCTTTCTTTTTTCTGTATTTCAGAGCTTCATTACAGCGACTCCCAAGAGTGGCCATGTGGTTAGACACCAGGCCAAGACCCAGCAAGGCCAACAGTCTGGACCGGTCAAGGCAAAAGGTCCAGCTGGTCAGAAGAAAAGGGTAGCGGGGACAGAGTCCTCTGAGCCTGGGGAACCAGTAGAAAAGAGAGGTAAGGATGTGCCAAGCTGCCTGGCTAAAATTACCATCCTGTGCTAGAGGAAGTCAACTTTCATTGCAGCATACCACAGGGGGCATGTTGTGAGAGGAATTATGGAAACTTAGATATGCAGCAAGAAGGCAACTGGTGCCTTCTTAAAGATGAAGTTGAGGTCTGGTCATGCGATTGCATTGTGAAAGAAACGGTGTGGAACCGACCAGAAAAGGTTGATCATCTAGCATATAAGAATTTGTGTGTATTGCAAGGTTCTGGAATCATCAAAATGATAAGAAATTTGGCCAAGTCTTGGTAAAGTTACAAACACTGTACACAGAAAGATGTATATGGGACTACACGAACACGTGGCGTAAAAAGCCGGCCCCCCGATTTTTACGATGTTACATGCATATTTACAATATGAAGGCAATTGAAGAGCCATGCTTTTCAGGGAACATGTTTAATCTGATGTTCTTTCACCCTTGCATAATAACAATGATAACGCTCACAAATTATTTTTTACCTCTTCCCAGAACTCGACCTTCTCTGTAATACCAAGAAGGTTAAATTGATCGAGTTGGGAAGGCAACATTTTAATACCCACCAAGGCAGACGGCGTGTTGTTTCCTAAAACAAGGCGCCTTGGAGAGTAAAACAAGTGGCCTTCTCATCTTAAACAAGGCGCCTTGGTGACTTAAACAAGTCGCCTTTCTTGCTGCACGTATAAGCTCCCTTATGTCGCAGTCACACCTTTGTGTATTTGGCTTGCGTATTTATGGCAAGCCGTTTTAACATTTATTCCTATTTCTTGATATCAATAATTACCATTGCTTTACAACAGAAAATCATTTCTTGATATCAAGAAATAGGAATGAATGTTAAAACGGCTTGCCATAGGTACGCAGCAATACGCAAGCCAAATATGCAATGGTGCGACTGACCTGTGCTATATGCTGGTTAGAGGGGGTAGACCAACGATCATACTCTGCATACATGTAGCGTTGGAACACATGGTTGTTTGGTTTGTGTAGGGCAGCCTCTGAGGACATGGTCTCATGATTAATCTTGCAGCTTGCAACTAACACTGCATCTAATTGGACCACACTGCAGTTTTTTAGATTTGTTTAATTTATTTATTGGTATATAATGATCATTCAATGAAACATTTTTGTATGTAATATACACATTTTCCTAAAATATCTTCTTATCATCACTTTTATCATGGTGATCCACTAGTAATTCCTCAGTTTGATCTTTAATGTCCACAGCAAAAGTGCGGTTGTACACAACTGGAGCCCGCCCTCGTCTGATCAAAGACACCAGTGATTTGGATATCTTGTTTAACTGCTTAGAAGACACTGCTATGGAATTCAGGTATTGAAACTGCTCTCTCATTATGCTATTAAACTCATTTGTTGTATTTCAATCAAGTAATCATTTTAGGGTACGGTTTCATCCACTATAGATTTACTTGCATTCAGATTAAAGAACTTGTTGATGCTAACTCCTTCTAAAAAAGCTTAGAGTTGCTCATGGAATTTTGTGAAATGAGAACTTTTGATAGCTGAGGGATAATCAGCTATTACATGTATTGGGCTTTTGATCAAGCCATATATATCGGTGCACTCTTTATGCATTTTTTAAAACTTCAATATTTCAAAATAACCACATCCTATTTTTAATTCTAAATAAATAAAACCCAATTCAGTTATGACTTGCATGTGATTGTTTTATGCAAAAGATTTTATGAAAAAAAAAATCAATTCAATTACAGTATATTCCTCTACAGATGAGAAAGTGCATTGTCTTAGATTTATAGAAAAATATTGTACAGATCATGCAGGGAAGACAAAAAGGAACCTGAATAACTGTGTTGCAGGCACTATGTTGAACTAAACTTATCAAAATTATGATAGGGGATCATAAGCTACACACTTTGTTTCCAAATGCTAAAAGTCCTGTAATTCATTGTTTTATGATGATTTCTTGGGTTTATTTTTAATAATCTGGATATTCTGAAGTTGTTATGTGGAAAAAAGCCTGACCGGCAAATGTTAATAATTAATGCATAATTCAAAGTCATGTTTTATGCCCATGTTAAATTTGTTCAACATGAAAAAAAGGTCCACAAGCTACACACATGTGACAAATGAATGAAGATTTTTGTTTTGCATCTTAATAATGTGAATTCCACCTTGGTTTCAGTCTACCGGTAATGATGATGTGACAAGAAATATACTAAAATGTCATCAAATTTTGGGGCAAACGTCTATGGCATTCTTGTTGCTCAGTAACCTCAGAAGTTTGGCACATTGTGTGTATTGTATTTTGTCTATTTGTTGGGTGCGTAGTATATGGACCTGCGTAGCTTTTAGACCCTTGGTCATATATCCGTATTAAAGCTCTTGTTTATGATTTTTGTTGTGTTTTTCTTCTTCAGAGAAGCATTGGATGCGCCCCGTCACAGGAAGGCAGTCACCAAGTTCATGGAACACTCCAAACATGAGCTCACAGACATGGTATGAAATCAGTAGTTTCCCTTGCAATGGTCGTTGTGTTGAAGACATCTTTTTTTCTTTTTTAAAAACTCTTTATATGCCATATGAATAATCTCTCTGTGCCACATTGTATTTATTATTTGATGGATACACTAATGCTTAAAGATATTTAACTGTTGCCAGCTCAAGAATAATCCATACTGGTGTCATGAACGTCAGTAAACAATATACAAATAATACATTGCAGTGAGGGCATTAGTAAGAATTATCCACACAATGTACCTTAGGAACAGTCTAACAAGCCGAGGCCTAAGGCGGTAACCGAGGGTGTTTGGACTGTTTTGAAGGTACAGAGTGGGTAATTTTACTAATGCCTGAACAAAATGATGTGTATTATTTGTTTTATTTGTTTTATAAAATGATGTTTTATAACATGATTTTACTAATGACTGGTCATTAGAATTGGATAATGACCGGTCATTATCCAAATTACGCGTTAGACAAAATAAATGCCTGGTCACGTGTACGCTTTTAACCAATCATTTGATTAAGATCCACGTCATCATCTTATAACAGTAGATAATAAGGGTTGTCATGGAGCTAATCAATACCAGTGTCATGGGTCATCTTGCAAAGCCATTGTGTTGCACAAAGCAATCCTTCAGTCATTTGGTGCCTATTTGGTGCCTATTGTTTTCCGGGAAAGCTTTCCATGGGAACTGCTCTACGCAGATGATTTGGTGCTGATGGCTAAGAGCGAACAAGAACTGATAGCTAGAATGTCTTCATGGCAAGCAGCCCTAGAAGGAAAGGGTCTGAAAGTGAATGTTGGAAAGTCCAAGGTCATGGTGTCTTCTGCTGATGCAGGTGAGACAGAGAAAACAGGAGAGTACCCCTGTGGAGTTTGCTATACAGGTGTTGGAGCCAACTCAATCAGATGCACCAAATGCAGGAGCTGGGTCTATCGCAGATGCAGTGGAATACGTGGTAGCCTGCAAGCAGCAAGTAAGACATTCATCTGTAAGAGGTGCTTAGGTACAATCTCACAGAAATGTACCAGTGACAATGTGACAGGTCTGGATCTCCATGGAACGACATATGATAAGGTGGATAAGTTCTGCTACCTGGGAGACATGTTGGCTGTCAGAGGAGGAGAGACAGCAGCTGTGACTGCAAGAATCCAAAGTGCTTGGAAAAAGTTTCGTGAACTCTCTCCTTTCCTCACCTCAAGGGCGACCCCGTTAAGAGTGAAAGGGAAGGTGTATGATGCCTGTGTTAGAAAATGCATGACGTTACGGGAGCGAAACATGGGCAATGAAATCATCCAGTGTACAGCGAATGGAAAAAGCTGAGATGAGGATGGTGAGGTGGATGCGCAGGGTATCACTTCACGAGAGAAAGAAGAACAAAGTCCTCCTTCAATCAATGGGATTGATGGGGGTGGCACAGGTTATGAGGATGAATAGACTTAGATGGTTTGGACATGTGGCAAGAAGAGAGGCAACACACTGGCTCCAGAGGGCTCTAAACTTCCCGGTCACCGGAAGAAGACCTCGTGGGAGACCCAGGAAAACCTGGAGGGAAGCCATCGAAGAGGATGCCAAAACATCGGGTGTCGGCCGTGTGGATCCCTCAGACAGGAAAGCTTGGAAGGCGGCCATTAAAGAAATGAAATGTCCAACCCCACAAAGTGGGCCAAATGGACTCTAAACGATGATGATGATGTTTTGTGCAAAATTGCATGTGTGGCAAATAAGCGATAGTACAGAGAGGCGAAGAAAGCAACCGAAGTGTTCATAGTTTGGTTGCGCTTGCAAGGAGAAAAGATTGTTTTAATTTTTTTTCCAGTTTGATTTAAATCTGAGAAAGCACCTGGGCCCTGTTTCATAAAACTGCTAAAACAAATGCTAAAATTCTAGGACAAATTTGCTCTCAACCAATCAATGCCATGATTTTAGTAGCTTATAACAGTTAGTGTAATTTGATACTGGCAAGTTCTATGAAACAGGACCCTTAAGTTTGAAAAAGTCCCTTCCTGTAGTTTTGCTATTAATTTTATCCCATAGTGTTCTCTGAAATAGCGAAAGTAGATTGTACATGTATTTTCTAATTGGGATTTTACCCTGACTTTAAATTAAAGAACATTTTCTGGATCGAGAGTGGGTGCACTGTGCATTGTTTGTCATGTAGCAGGCATTAAAACTAAAAGCTGTTTTTGTTTCTTTTTTTTGGTAGATATCAATGCAGCATGACTTCAAGCTTCAGACCCTAAGCCTGTCAAGAACGAATACATCCATTGGGAGATATCGAAATGAGCTGCTTGACCTACAGAGAGGCAGTACCAGGTAATGTAATTGGGGAATGTACACCAAACTGAGCTCAAGTACATGTACCGGTAGCATGAAAAGAGTTTGGATTTTTTAGATGTTCATATAACCTGACGCATACCAGAGATGCAGTCGCATTCATCTTGTGTTTTTGTCATTGATTGCTTAGTTATTACCATTTTGGAGGCATCAACAGTCCTGTTTGGCCAATTGTAATCTAATTTCACTTGACTGTTCAATAGGTATTTTTCATCCTGTAATACCTACTGTGCAGCAAAGGCAAGTATACAGTATTAAGGTATAGACCAGTTTTGGAAACGCCCCCCCCCCCCCTCTCAAAAAAATGAAATGGAAGCTCTTATTACCAATCATGTGAAAGAATATGTTTTGACTGATACGTGATGATACAATTTTCGCCAAGAAACTGCCTACTAATTGATATATTTGGTAAATTATCATATTGATCCGGCCTGGATAGATATCGCGAATGCACTTCAACATTGAACATTTGGGCATATATTTTTTACTTTTTTGCGAATTTAGGTTGAAGTATTGCCATCTAAACCTCTGAAGGTAATATTTAAACAATATTGAATGGATATTTTGCACCCAAAACCCTTGAACTGCAATTTTACCACTACCGTTCTACCATTAACTTTGGTGTTTTTATCCTCTCAATGCAGACTGGATATCAGGATAGCAGAGTTAAAGAAGGAGCAAGAGAATTCAGTTGATACTAGGGCCAAGGCTCTCAAAGGCATCGACCTGTTTGTCTCGGACTTGGAGAATCTCCATGAAACCTATATATCCAAATACCCAAAGGATATCAAATCTGTGGTAAGATCTTTGTATTTTTTATTCATTTGAAGAACAAATAGTCAGGCAATGTTTTATTCCACAAAAATAGCTTTTTTGTAGATGAAAATTGTTATCAGTTAAAAGGTAAAGAAATTGATAAAGACACCTGCTTGCGCCCACACACCACATATGTACACATTTCTGGTGTAAATCAAGGACTTGTATACTGAAGATCAGTATTTTACTACATGTTCGAGGACACACAGGTTTCTCTCATTTTTCTCCTTCTATTAAAACCACTCTAATATCAGGGTGGACCTCGCCTTTAAACTTTCAATAGAATCATTGCCTGGGGGACACATTTGAGTATAATAGAGCTCATAAAATGTTCAATAGAAATATAAAAGTTAAACAAATTATGTCTTTATATGTTAAAGAACAAAATGAATATGCACACACAAAAATAGAAAGCAATCTAGATTTTAAAGAAAAGAATATTTCCTGAATCATAGCAGGTCTCAACTCAAACTGGGTTTTCAACTTACAGAGGCTCCATGCACACTACCTCTATAAGCCAGTTCATAGTTGCAGTCTGAGCATGAGCAGATAAAGGTCATTGCAGAACAAATTATGAAATACACAAAGACTAACTACTAGATAAGTGCTCATGAAAGTTATGTAATCATTATTCATTTATGCGAAAGCAGTGTACTCCATGATACACAGGTGGAAGTATTCTTTGAAAACAAAGGCTATTTATGTAGCACCTCCATCGCTGTAGGAGTGATTATTTCAAAATTTACAAAGTGGGACCTCTTCATGTTCATGTTTTTTAAGATCTGTGGATATTCAGGGTCATTTGGGACATGTGCTAACCGTGAACCGGTCTATTATTCTGTGAGGAACTGTAATTATAGATTCATCAGCCCTGTTGCCCATTATATGGTAATATTTGATCTTAACGTAACACTTCTTTAATCTTGTGTTATTTTCTTCAGGACCCTATCGTTCAAGCTAACGCCGAAACCTTGTCGTCTGAACTAGAACCTAGGTTAGAACTACAAAACTCCACTGGATCGCTGAGCGACAAACTACGAGAATGGTTAGGCTCACAAGTACTTCAGAAATAATAAATTCTATATCCATTATCCATTCAGTTTCAAAATTGCAATTGTTGTCTTTGCAGACAATGTGTTGTTGTCACTTGTTACAATGAATTTTGAATATGATCTTTTTTAGGTATGAATGCAATGGTATGAATGCCTTTTCACTATAAAAAGTGAAGATGGCAATTTATTTCATCATTTAAAGGGAGATGGTCGTCAGTTTCCATGAGCAGTAGGTCATGATTCACTGACACCAGACTTGGTGGAATTACCACTAATGGGTGTACAAGTCTGCCCATCAGTCAGACCGCAGCGTGCGCGCTAATGAGGCTATACGCTGATTTTTATTCAGCGTCTCTTTGGTTATCTCGTACATTCACGTGTGCTGAAATTCACGAGATTTTCTGTGAGATTTGTAAGGGTGTACATGCAGCTGCTTTTGTGGTCGATAACTTCTGTCAACATGGCAGCACGCAACGGTAATTACTCTCGAGATTCTCAGCTTCAGTTTGATATGAAACTTGCCATATTTCACAATTTTGAAACGATCCTTTTTCACCACTTTTATTGTCGTTATTTTTGTAACATTTCAACAGCTATTTTGTACCCGAAATTTCGCTTTTGGTTCCTGACTTTGGTACATAATTAATTTGTTTACTTTGAGATTCGTTGGAAAGATGAAAAGTCACTGATCAAAATAATGTCAAAACCTAATTGACGCAAAATCTTGTTCTCTTTATAATCATAGTAATTAAGACCCTAAAAACCCGGAAATTACCAATTTGTTCTTTCTATATGATGGCACGAAATTGTGTGATTTCATACTCGTGCACGCTCGCCGTTTGAGCAATGGCAATGCATAACTGATTAGTAAACTCCAGGGAGCTCCGCCGCGCCACCGACTGGCCGAAAAAATTAAGAAAAATGATTAAAAAAGAAATAATGTAGAAAAATATTATTTGAACGGCAGGTGACGTAATTGATCCAGGGTCTTCAGGTTGTTGTCATGACTGCTTGCGCGCACGTGCATTACAGGCGCACGCCACAAGGAATGCTTACTCAAATTTGGTATTTAGAATGTTAATAAACCAAAGCGGAACATATGTGACGTAGTTGACGTATTTGGCCAATCAGAACGCTCTATTATCACATCGGCAAAGTTGACTACTTTTTTTAATTATTCATGAACATTCGCGTGATTTTTCTTGGTTCCTGACTTTGGTACAGCGTAAAATATAATAATTTTGATATCATTGTAAAGAAAAATATTTATGCTTTATGCTGATTTTAACATCTTCTTGACGCAAGAATGATTTCTATGTGAAAATCAGCCCTACTCTTTAGATAGATTTATCGTCGAAAAACCCCATTTTCAAGGCGAAATATCTGTTTCCAAAATATATTAAACATGATTGTTATATAAGTATATAGAGAGTGCAACTTCTTATCTTTGAAATAAGACCCATTTCATGAGAAATGAACAATTATAAAGGCAAAAACTGCCGATCGGGAAGACCGTCTGCACTACTCATTACGTATGCAAGACACGTAAATTCTTGCATACGTGCTGAATAAAATAGAGGGTTTTCGCACCGGCTGCGGTCTGACTGCATGGCCAACCCGTGGCATGGTCCCATCAGGAAATACCCCCTAGTCTATTGGAAAGTCTTCACGTGAGGGAAATGTAAGATAATGAGGGCAATTGGAGGAAAATGCAAAGCAATAAACTAAAGGGTAATCCTGGTGTTTGACAATACCTGTTATTAGGTACACACCCAAATGATCAAATTTCCCATGGCCATGAGAGCCCACTTCTTTGCGTCTAATGGTAATTCATGTACAGTCAAACCTGCTTTAGTGACCACCTGTCTACAAAGACCACATTTTTTTATTTCCCTTGAAAATGGTTTCTCATTGAAACATGCACTAAAGGAGCCTGTGTCTACAAAGACCACTTTTTGTGTTTCCCTTAGGCTGTCGCTATAGACAGGTTTGACTGTTCCCATGTTGTTACTTATCATGCCGTGCTTTTATGCACAATACTGTTTTTACAAAACCAGACATAGATTGGAGTGTAGCCTTGGCATGAAATAATGTAAAAATGGAACACAAAATTATGAACGATGAACATATTCAACTAACCAGTGAAAAAAGAAGAAAAAAGTAGGTACCAGTATGCAGGCTGTAAATAAAGAGTGCTGTTTGATAATATTTATTCTGTCATTACATGAATTAGTTAATATAATTGCAAAACATTTCATAAACTCATGTTAATATGCTAAAACACAATTTTGTAATTGCAGTTCTTTTCGTGTATCTAGCGTTGCTTCATATTTTAAGTTTGTGATTAATTATGATCAGTTGTACTTGAACAGTATAAGAACTATTGCTGATTATTATGCTCCTTAAGCCCATCTCAAACTATACGATCAGATTAAGATCCGATTTTGGAAGAATGTGCAATAGCATTTGATATGAACTTTCAAACATGTAAAATCCAAATGATTGAGGATCTGAATAGTCATGTGATTAAAAAAATCTAAAATTCAATGGATTTTGTGTTTCCTTGGAAGAGGAAAAGCTAAATCGGCTCAGAATCGTAGCGACGTCAGACCAGTAGTGCGAGTGTCTACGATTTGAAGCCGATTTGCCTTTTCTTCTCCCTAGAAGGGTTTTAATGCATTAAAATTCCAGTTGTTAATATTTATATCATTATTTAGAAGCCAAATCAGGAATATGATGTTTGATTAGATTTCCTATCTAATACAATCACCATTTTTTCGACAATAAGATCACAGGATGATCGTGTAGTATGTGCTGGGCTTAAAGCTAATGGAATACATTACTCAATACTCAAAAGTGTGGATGGAATAAAAAGAAATATAATTTTGGAATTGTGAAAGCACATTCTGCCTTTATCTTTCATCTTTATGTCTGTGACTCTGTGATTTTCTCTCCATCTCTCTCTCTCTCTCTCTCTCTCTCTCTCTCTCTCTCTCTCTCTCTCTCTCATCCCTCCTGTCTCTTTTCCATTCTCTCCTTGTAATCTCTAAACATGATATTTTTTTATGTGCTTGGAACAATATTTCCTTGTATGTTTGAATTCAAGATAAAAATAATATCTTGCTTGCAAATCAAATTATGTATGTATATAGGATTCATATAATTTTGTAAATATATCGTTTTCATGGCATTACACTATAAACACAAATATGAAAGCGATAGAAAAGAATGACAAACTGTCAAGCCATGCACATAATTTACTTATAAACATATATAATGTCAGTTATGTTGCTTGGGCTTTTACATTAATAAATGTAAATTATATGTATCTTATGTAAATTATATGTACAGTATTTGACTAATACAAATTCTATAATATCTACTGCTCAGCAAAAAAGTATGTTATATAGAACTGTACTTAGAACCTTGTATGATTTTTTTGGTTTGTAATAAAATGTTCATTAACAGCTAAATAAAAACCTGTTTCAATTTGTTCTATCTGTTTGAATTTGAATTTTTGAATTTATTAATAACAAAACATCACAATTATGTATTATTAATATTTAGGTGAAGTTGTTAATGGGAACTGGAAGTTTGCACAAGTGCTGTTTGATTTATTATCTTAAATTCTTATGAACGGCATATAACCTATACATTTTTAATAAAATACGGGTCACATATAGAGTAGAACCTTGCTATAAAACAAGCTCCTAATTGAGGTATAACTTGTGCAGAAATGTTGCGACCTTTAAAAATTGTATTAAATTTAATAAAGAAGAAGTAAAATGAAATGAGAAGAGAGAGAGAGGAGGTTCATAGTCATAAAACCTAACCTAGAAGATAAAAAACTTGCATTGGCCGGGAATTGAACCCGGGTCCCCCGCGTGGCAGGCGAGAATTCTACCACTGAACCACCAATGCTTCACGTTATATGAGGGAAATTTATTGTATAAGACTTACGTATGTAGTGCGTACTTCGTGTATCATGGCCATGCGGAAGTCATAGACAGTGCATGCAGTACATGTAGTGTACGTAGTGCATGCAATAATCCAGCGTGACACACTTTTCAACACGTGCAAATTTAAATGCCCACCATTGAAATGTCGCAGCAAATACCAGAAATCGCAATGGTGAATGGTGATGATGTATCATTAAATGGAGAAATTCGTAAGAAAAAGAAATCAAAGAAGGAAAAGGTAAGCGTTATGTTTTGGAGAAAACTTTGGAATAAGATGTATTTACAGAGTAAACATGAAATTAAATCGAAGAAGTGAGTGCGAGTGTGACGTGTACGCTCCGTCCATTGATGGAGCCGCTGCGGCTGGGCAAGGGTGACTGGCTGACATGTGGTCGTTGTGAGAGCCGCGCGCTGTTCAGAATCAGAGATGAAATCGGAAAGCATTTGCAATGACGATTTGCATCTTGTTCGCGTTTAGAAATCTGAATTCCGCATCACACGTGTGCATTCAGCAAAACTAGAATGATGATAGATGATGGCAGCGTTGTGTAATTCTACAATTTCTGCCCAGAATGACCAGATTAGTCAAAACTCCCAACCTAGAATCTAGATTGATAGATCTAAAATTAAAATGAATTAAAAAAGGGTTCTTGTTCACAGCTGTGACCATACTTTGGACCTGTAACTCTGGCGTGGAGATACCTTACTATAACACACCAAAAATCATATCAATCTTCCACAATTGTTCAAATAATGGGCATGATTTAAAACTAAGTCGCTATCTTTCTTGCCTGTTTTGTGTCAATTTTCTTTTCTTTTTTTGATCGAACGTAAAATAGCCGTACGCGATAATGGCTGAATAAACGTTTCCGATTTGATGTATACTGAATGAAAAAAGCGTAAGTTTAGTTTAGTATGAAATAGGCATGGGAGTGTTGCTGACAGTTGCTTGAATTTATAAATGAATTTCATTTTATTATTTCTTCTTTTTTTGTACAGAAAATTAAATCTGATGATGCAGAAATAGAATCTCCTTCTAAAGAGGAATCACCATCAGAGGAGAAACCAAAGAAGAAGAGGAAAAAGGGCTCTGATGAGGAAGGAGAAGATGAAATCAAGAAGAAGAAAGTGAAGAAAGAGAAGAATGGAGAGGTTCAACAGAATGGCATCGTAAAGGAAAAGCCATCATCATCAAAGCAGGTACTGCTGAATGCTCAAGCTTACTTCTTTTTCCTTGTCAGAATGTTTACAAAAAGACATATCCTTTTAAAACTTATTGAAGGAAAGGAATGTTAATGAAGAAAATGCTCAAGTTGGATTAGGAGAATTTTAGTTCAGACCTGAAACAAAATTGAATTTACTACATGTAAATATCTATGAATGAACAAAGTAGGATTTTGTTTCATATTGTATTAGATTTTTAATTTGTAAACCATTCTCAATAATTATTGCTTGACAGGAAATACAAGTTGATAAGATTCAAGTCATTTTAATGGGATAAGGGTAATTGATGCATCAGGAGTAGTTCCTGGAGGTTCTATGGACTGTCGGTGTGCACTTCATTTGCCGGAAGGCTGTTCCATTTTGGGATAGAGCATTAGGCAAATGCAAACTTGTCTTCGTCGCTTCTGGCTTTGTGCATCTGGGTCTTCCGTGTTCGTGATTTGTTGAAGGAAAATAATGCTTTCAAAGGAATAGCAGAGAGACCATTGACTATCTTGTGCACCATTCCCAATCTATTGTCAGACCATCTTGTAGAAAGCTATCTCATTTGTATTTTTTTTGTTTCTTTTTATTTTGTAGATAAATATATTATATGTATTTTTTCTTCTTCTTTTCTTGCGCAGGGAGAAGTAGATGAAGAGACCCAAGAAAAGATAGGAGCCTTCTCAAATTTTGGCATAAGACCCAAAACCATTGAGAAACTGCATGGTAAGGACTAAGGAAGAGAAATCATTATATGCGAAATTTATGAAATAATGAAGTTGCTATTTTATAAGTAGTGAATTTCATGTGCATGTAATGTAAGATTACATCTTGATCTACTTGTGAAATTATCAAAGTCTTCTCAATATATTCTTTAAAAAATGTAGCATGCAGGTGATTTTTTTTGCCTTGGACATGTAAATTGACTGAATATGTTTTATATGTTTAATGTGTAAATATTGCAAATACAATGTTTATAATATCTGTCAGCTATCCTTGTGAAAAAGGGAGGACATTTCTTGAGCTTAGCATTGTGTTCGAAGTATCAGCTCAGGCTACCACACAGTGTTGCCAAAAGCTTTCCATTGTGAATAATCACTCAAAAATCTGGGAGAACAATTCAGGGCTCAACGTAGCTGGGTTTCATGGGGAATTTGACACCGGTCAAGCATTTTTCCTGATAATAGGTGTTGTCAGTCATCAAGAGTGGACTTCACTTTTATGACAGACGGCTCTTGTGTAATGCACTGTGCTTTAGCCTCCCACCTAATGCAATTTTCACCAATATAAAATTTCCATCACCCTTGACATATAAAGGCAAGTAGCAGTATGTTCTAATGGGATCACAGGTTTTGCTGATTCAGACACCATTGCACTCATAACATCATTAATAGGTCATTTATTCAACCAAATCTGGTGTCGGCTAATTGTGAGGCAATACACATGGACGCTGACCGACTGTACATTGTGGCCTAAAGCAGAGGCATGCTATACATTTTTCTTCAAAATTTAAGGCTCATAAACATTTTAAGTATCTGAATCGTAACACGCTGATTTTGTTTATTATTTCGTTTATTTTTGTCATACAGCCAAAGGAGTCAAATACCTGTTTCCCATTCAAGCCCAGACTTTCAAGCCGATTGATGATGGTTTTGATGTCATAGCACAAGCACGTAAGTGTGATTAGGAGTTGATTCATGTGCAATTCTTTATTTTGTATATCATCGCATTATATTGAATCCTTTTTATGAAGTGATCTTTGATTATGAACATATATTAGCTTAAAGTGTCGAAAAAATTGTAATATGAACTCATGATTTAAATAGATGGAACGTTGGTATAAGGCAGTTAATAGGTCTATCTATCGTCTCACCCCATCATATGGCTCGAGAAAAAACATTCTGGAGAGATATCATCAACATGGTCACAAAGGGTTGGTCCTGACTCGTAGGACCACCACAATGACATGTTGGTGCTCACTTCCTGTCACAATATTTTTTCTCCCCTACAGGAACTGGAACCGGTAAGACTTTATCCTTTGTTCTCCCGCTGGTCGAGAAATGGCAGCAGTTCCCTCAGAAGAGCGGCCGACAACCCATCATCCTCGCCCTTGCTCCTACCAGAGAACTCGCCAAGCAGGTAACCAAGCAAAACCAACTTCTCCTGGGGCCCCATTTCACAAAACTTGTCATCAGTGACAAGTAACAGATTTGTTTTAAGCTAATGAAATCCTTGCTTCTGATTGGTTATCAGCAGATTTGTCACTGATTTTTGCAATTTGTCATTGGAAAAAGGGTTTGTGAAACAGGTCCCTTTACTCCCATGAGAGTGTACCAATCACCTGAGAGAAAAATAATTTGCCTACATCCAATTGCGAAACGTGCTTGCTTTTGCTTGTTCTTATAAACAAGTGCTTACATTTGTTCAAGCTCCGTCATGTCATACCAGCTTGGGCTCTTGCTTAATCAGGACGTTCACATTTAAGCAGCATTTCATTATATCATAACATTTGTTATCTTCCTGCGTTCTGTCATCCCACCACCAGATATCGGAGTACTTTGAAGCCATTGGTCCGCACCTCAGCACCACCTGCATCTACGGAGGCACCTCCTACTGGCCCCAGGAGTCGGCCATCCGGCGGGGTCTGGACGTCGTCGTGGGAACGCCCGGACGCATCCTGGACTACATCCGCAAGAACACCCTGGACCTGTCCAAGCTGAAGCACGTCGTGTTGGACGAAGTGGATCGGATGCTGGACATGGGGTTTGCGGAATCGGTGGAGGAGATCCTCGGTGCTGCTTACAAGACTGGTATGTGACAAGGATTATGTGTTTCATCAGGAATATGGTATTATTATTATTAGTAGTACTTTATTTGGCAAATCAAGTCATATCAATACAACAATATATATATCAGTTTCTATACTCAAAGATTCAGACTCATTATCTGGCCTCTGGAGAGGAAGTCCGTCACAACCCGCAGACACTCCTCTTCTCAGCCACCGTACCTCCCTGGGTCTACAAGTAATAGTCAACAATCGCTATGAAATTTCACTTTTCTTTCTTTTACCTCGAAGGTCAATCTGGTGCTTCAGAGGAAGCCCCTAACAACCCACAGACATTGCTCTTCTCAATAGTTAACAATCGCTATAAATTTCACTTTTCTCTCTTTTTCATTTCCAAGGTCAACCTGGTGATGGAGAGGAAGCCCCTAACAACCCCCAGACACTGCTCTTCTCAGCCACTGTCCCTCCCTGGGTCTACCAGACTGCAGTCAAGTACATGCGCAAGGATCTCAAGAAGGTCGACCTTGTAGGTAGGGACAGGATGAAGACAGCTACAACAGTTCAGGTAAGATATCTAGAAAAGTTGTTGTTGAAGACACGCTTGTTTTCAGGAGCTTTTGAATAGTTTTGTTTTATTGTGTCTGTAAAGTAGCACTGTTAGGAGTTTTGTTTTCATCACAGCACAGTAGAGTATATATAAATTGATCTATTTATTATTATATACTGATTCAGTGACTGACTTTAAGAAGGGTGTATGGATTCCTGACCCACAAATATATGAGTTTTTTTTCTTCAAGTGCCGAATCAAAATGGTTAACCCTCTATTTGCCATCCATCAAAACCCAAGACTGCCACAGTGTCGTAGATTATATGGTACATGTACAACCTACATGTACTACAGTCATTTGTAGCTGGGAAACAGTGAAAGTAACCCCTTAGTTACCCCCCCCCCCCCCCCCTAGTCTATTAGATGGGATAAGTGCCCCCACCCACCCCCACCCCTCTCTTCAAGATTTCGGCTGTAGGGTGACTGATCACCTGAATTGTACGCTGAGCTCCAAAGTTCCGTGAAGAATAAAACCAAACCATTTCTTCTTACACCCAAGCTGGCAATGAAGGCAACCTTTTGAAAACACTCCTTTATTATCCTGTATTATTTCTCATTCAATGTCATTCCTGTCTCTTTTCTCCAGCATCTGGCCATCAACTGCAGCTATTTTGACCGACCACAGGTCATTAGTGATGTCATCAAGGTTTACGGGGGTTTGGACGGCCGCTGCATGGTCTTCTGTGAGACCAAGAGGGATGCCAACGAGCTGGCCATGAGCTCTGACGTGAAGCAAGAGACGCAGGTCATGCATGGAGATATACCTCAGACACAGCGAGAGGTCACTCTAAAGGTCAGAGGTCATTCTTCTTCTTCCATTGGAGTACATCCCTCTTTTACAGAGTAATGTATTGTACTATACTGGGGTGTGCAGGTGGGCCACTACACCGGGGTTGATCTTTCAGTGGTTTATATGTAAAAACTCTGAAATTTTAACCCCATCATTGTTACCATGCAAACCTCTCAATTTCTTTCCTCCACCCCCCCCCCCCCCCCCCCCCCCCGCCCCCACTCATGAGTACTGCAATGGACTAGCTGATTATTCTGTCACTTTGAAAGGAGGATGGCTTTGCAATTTCGCAGTAATTCAATGTGATCCTTTCGAATTACCAAATTTATATTTTCCTCTTCTATTCCTGTGCTTCAACAGGGTTTCCGAGAGGGCAAGTTCCAGTGTCTGGTCACCACTGACGTAGCAGCGAGGGGGTTAGACATACCGGAAGTTGATCTAGTCATCCAGTGTAATCCGCCGAGGGTAAGTCATATCATGATTATAATAAGAGTGTCAAAGCTAACATATATATTATTCAAATGAGGGGTTTGGAAAGAAATTTCTTGTATATATATTGTTGCATGGCTATCAACTAACACATTTGCCTGATATTGTAAGATAACATCCATGATTAATTAATAATTAAATTTATATTATTGATTTTAAGTAATTTGCGTCACCTGTGCCTGGGAGGCCAAAAACTCAAACTGAATCACTGTAATCCTCGGGGTCTCTCCTCCCTGTGTGAGTGTTTGAGTGTGTGTAGAGGGACTGTTACACCGGGGTAACCCTGTGTTTTTGTACATTTGGGTATCCTTAGCATCTTATTTGTGTTTCTAGTATCAGGCCTGATAAAAACCCGATTTAAATCGGTTTACCAATTTTTTTTTCTTATTCCCTTTTTTATCCCGATTTTCCCAATTTCCCTCTTATTTTCTCTATTCTTCCCTATTTTGCCTTATTTTTTTCCCAATTTTCCCAATTTTCTTACTCGAAAGGGGGGAATGTTTTAGATGCCATTTTTTTTACTGAAGTGGGGCGTGGTTGAGGGGAAAAAAAAAAAAAAAATTTTTAGTGCTCACTATCACCCCTGTAGAATAGAGGGTTGATACACTCTCAACAAACAGGAATTTCATCACCTACAGTGTGTTTTACCCTGAAATTTAATTTTCTGATAGTGGAATGGTAAAATGATCAATTTATTGGCTGCTGCACCTGATTCTCTCCTCGATGTATAACCTATGGTCACGTTGTGTCTTCCAGGATGTGGATTCTTACATCCATCGATCAGGGAGGACCGGGAGAGCTGGTCGTAATGGAGTCTGTGTCTGTTTCTACAAGCGACAGGAAGAGAGGGATCTACAGAAAGTAGAATACAAAGCGGTAAGTCCATGATAACTCATGAACACATTCAGATTCAGCTCTTGGGCCAAGTTTCCTCAAACTTATGTTTTTCAATAAAAAGTGCTACAATTCTAAGACAAATTTGCTTTTAGTTCATGATATCTTGAATAGGCCTATGACTGATATTATGTATAATTCAAAGATGAATACCATGTTTTTCTTTGAAGTATTCACCTGTAAATTTGACAGGACTGGTATGATATTGTCTAAGCTGGACAAATATCTATTTTTCAGGTTTATATCATGCTTAACCCTTACTGTACTGGGCTATTTTGAGCATCTCGTCCCAGGCCCCCCCCCCCCCCACCATGATCTCGGCCGTCGAAAGTCCAATGAAAGCGAAAATTTGCATGTTTTTTCCTAATATGCAAATTTTTGTCGTTATAGCCTAATTCATTATGCAAAATGCTAATTTTATGCATTTTACAGAAAACTCTTCATATTTGTCTGTAGAATGAAGAATGTTGAAAATGTATTGAATAAATGTTTCCTTCATCTTAAATTCATGAGGTTACATTATTTTCATGATATTTGAAAATGCATAGGTTAATTTGCATAATCTTGAATACGCATTCATGAATATCAAATCTAGAAATATACAGGGAACTAGAATCATTACAAAAATTGTCAGACTCCACTTTTTGAATGTTAATTGAAACCCATTATTCATATGAAACTTCTGTTCTAACACAAAATAGTTATTTTGATGTAATTAATAAGATAATTTATGCAAATTTGATGCGATTTTCAAATATTTATTTTCTTTTGTATTTTATTGTTTTTTATTTCTTATTATATCTATTGTTTTATTTCTAATGTATTCTTTTGTTCTGGAATACATCAAGTTACTTTGAGAAAGATATAAAAGCAATTTGATATCAATTCATAGTATTCACATTTCTGCTTGTACATGAATATATGCAATTATAGCATATTTTTGATGACATTTGCATACTAATTGTTATGTAACACCTTACAGGTATATCCGATTTCGACGAAAATGGTATCAAAATGTGCGTAAGACTTGAGGTGAAAAAGTCATGAAACAACAATTCAAAATTCCAAGCTGAAAACGTTGAGGGGGGGGGGGGGCCTCCCCCCCAGTACAGTAAGGTTTAAAAGAAAAAACACTTTGAAATGTATATTAAAGTGTTCAATTTCCTCATTAATTTATATGGGGCCTCAGAAAAACAGTTTTGATTTTGAGGGAGCTACCCTGTTTAAATAGAATTATTAAATAAATAGATAAATATATAAATCATGAACAATGAAACTGAAGAGCATAACTGACGTAGATCCTCCAAACAACAGAAAAATGGGCAATAAAAGCTAGATGGAAATACCATAAAGTAATGCCTTTGATTAATACTTGTAGAGAGAAAAATATTGTATAAGTCCCAAAATGCCACAAAAATATTACTTTCAAGAGTTCATCTTTATTTTGTAATAATAATAATAATAATACTCAGTTTTTTATATAGCGCTTATTAGAATCACTAAGCGTTACAACTTGCTTGCAGTTCCCCCTATCTCTAGTAATAACACATGACTCCACCAGTATCGCCTACACTAGTGGGGCGTTGCAAGAGAGTTGCGATCGATTGCAAGTTGCAGAATTTGCAACTGATATTTGCAATTGATTGCAACTCAACTTTCTTGCAACACCCCACTAGTCTCCTAAATTTCCTAAGATAATGTTAAAGTTTTAACAATTAAATTGAGTTACCGGTAACTAGATCTAGCTTTTATTAGCTTTTATTCTCCCCCCCCCCCCCCCCCCTCTCTCTCTTACTTATGCAAATTTGGAATTAATCGCAAGACTTAGGCTTGGTTTTGAGGATTCGCAATTGATTGCAACTTTCTTGCAACGCCTCATAGGAGTTGGATGGAGGGTTTCCTGATGCTGCATATCTGCCTAAGATAATCCAAGAAGAGCAGTCCAAAATGTAACTTGAAACCCAAAGAACAGACTATTAAACAAGTCTCCTCATTTAACTACCTCGGTAGCATGATTACCGAGGATGCCAGATGCGAGACAGAGATCAAGAGAAGGATAGCTCTGGCTAAATCTGCATTTTCGAAGTTAGGCAAAATTCTGACAAATCGAACAATGTGTATGAGGACCAGAATAAGGGTATTGAATTGTTACATCTACCCAGTACTTATGTATGGTAGTGAAACATGGACTTTAGCCTCTGAAACTAAAAAGCGTTTGGAAAGTTGTGAAATGTGGTTTCTAAGAAGAATGATGAAAATCCCCTGGACCGACAAAGTTAGTAATGAGGAAGTTCTTACACGAGCTGGAGTGCAAAGGAAAATGATACGTGAGATGTTGATTAGGCAGTTGAAGTTCATGGGTCACATTACATGTAAAGAAGGCCTAGAGAATCTTACTTTGACAGGGAAAATTGTGGGAAGAAGGAGTAGGGGAAGAAGGAGGATACTTTGGATAGGCAGTCTGCAGAAATTGTTGGAAGAGAGAGGAGTGAAAGAACTGGGAGTGGTACTAATACAGAAGGCTAGGAGCCGAGGGTTGTGGAACAGCATGATCACCAAAGTCAAACGATATGGCACTAAGAGAGAGAGAGAGCATATCTGCCTGATGCCTTTGATTTTTTAGCAGTAGGTGAAGCCATACACGCGACCAAGTGACTCTGTCTAAATCAATTTCTTTCTCCCCATAACCCTTACAGGGCATCAAGTTCAAACGAGTGTCGGCTCCCCAGCCAAGTGACATCATCAAGTCATCCGTCAAAGATGTTACAGAGTAAGTCAGAAAGAAATTTCTTAAAGTGACTCGGTAACATTGCCTCAGATTCCGAAACAAAATCCTAGATTTAGCTCATGCTGCAATGATAATTATAAACCTTTAGGTCAGTCAGGAATCCCATGACTTTTACAAGCACATCGCCTGTCTGGTTATCAAGATATTTAGGATTGGAAATCAAAATTTAATTTTACGTTTTGGTAACTGTTTTTAGTACACTATAGCCTATTGGGGAAAATGAGTATGGTAAAACCAGTCGCTCAAAAGATTTTTTACTTTTTTGAGGCACTTCATGATCATTTTGAAGCGCAATTCTTTTTAGGGCTTCAATATTGCACCATATAACGGACACTGTTAACACGTAGGGCCATGCATCTCAGATTTTACATTGTAAAATCAGAAACTATTGTAACCTCATTCTCTCTTTATATTCTTAATGATGACCTTTTTTTCCCTGCGAGAAGTTTTGCAAGTTGGAAATACATGGTGTTTTAGTTCAATCATGTCAAGAATTTGTAAAAGCTGATTGCATTTGTAATCAATTTGTTGTAATAATATAATTCAGGGAAAGGAATATTGCAGAATTTTAATTTTTAAGACTGAGATAACGTGGGCTGCTGTTTATGGAATAGGTGGGCATACCTGCCAACCCTTACAAATAATCCGGAATATTCTGTTTTTCTGGATGTCTAGGACCTGAAAATCCGGAATATTCAGATTTTGGGGGTGTTTTTTTGTCTGTGCTAAAATGCAAAATTAAACTTGTTTTATCATGTGCTCGATTTGAGAGTTCATGTTTCATGTGCGTTGAATGGCTGCATGATCGAGCGGCGAATTTGTATTCGCTTTTTGGTACAGATTTACCGCGTATTGCCAGTTACATTACCGCTGCAAGTGCGATTTCTTATTTTCGAAGGCATACCGTGCTAAAAATTCCTAATTCTTATTTTCAAATGTTGGCAGGTTTGGGTGGGTTGTAATCAAATAATCTCTAACATGTTGAATTTGCCTGAATGCCAGAGTAGCAAACGTAGATTAAAGGGATTGTTTAACAATGTTAAATCTGAGATACACGGCCCTACGTGTTATCAGTGTCTGTGATATGGTGTAATATTGAAGCCCTAAAAAAAATCGTGCTTCAAAATGATCAAGAAGTGCCTCAAAAAAGTAAAACCTTTTAGTGACCGGTTTTACCTTACTTATTTTTCCCAATAGACTGTAGTGTTATGAAAACCGTTCAGCGAACGGTTTTCAAAATCAATCATAAATATCTTGATGATTAGACAGGCGATCGGCTTGTAAAAGTCATGGAGTTCCTGACTGACCTAAAGGTTTATAATAGACCAGTTCACGGTTAGCACATTACTGCAATGACCCCGAATATCCACAGATCTTCAAACATGAAGAGGTCCCACTTTGTACATTTTAAAATAATCACTCCTACAGCGATGGAGGTGCTCCATAAATAGCCTTTGTTTCCCCTTTTCAAAGAATACTTCCACCTGCGTATCATGGAGTGCATAAATGAATAATGATTACATAACTTTCATGAGCACGTATCCAGTAATTTGTCACCGTGTATTTCACAATTTGTTCTGCAATGACCTTTATCTGCTCATGCTCAGACTGCAACCGTGAACTAGCTTATTATCACTGCAGCATGAGCTAAATCCCGGATTTTGTTTTTGTTAATGCCTTGCTGAGCTGGGATTTGGACCCTCAACCCTCTTAATGAGAGTCAAGTGAATGAACCACTAAACCAAGACACCTCCACAATGTATATGTCCTGGTCAAGTGGATATGTCACCAGACTTTAGATCACAAGGACCACGGTTCAAGTCCCGCCGCAGCACTAATGTCCTTTGGCAAGACATTGATCTACATTTGCCACACTCCACCCAGGTGTTCACCCAGTAGTAGCAAAAATCAATGTGGTTAGATGAGCAGGTGAGCCTGAATCTGATGACCGGGATAATAATATATATCTGTAAATCGCTGTGAGAGGGCCTGTGGTCCTGAAAAGCACTATACATGAACGAACTATTATTATATTCCCATTTTATTTCTTTAACTTTAGTTTACTGGGCGCTGTACAGCCCGAGATGGTGGCTATGTTCAAGAGTGCAGCAGAGGCCATCATAGCTGAGAAGGGGGCGGTGGCGGCGCTAGCGGCAGCTCTGGCTCACATAACAGGTTCCACAGCCATGAAGACAAGATCACTGCTAACGGCAGAAGAGGTGAGAACTTAGTAGTAGAAGTAGAAATACTAGCAGTAGAAATAGAAGTAAAGTTAATCGTAGTCATATGGCAGATTAGATCTTTCATGGGATTTTCAATATCCATGTAGAGGCACAAGGATAGCAATAACTGTAGAAATAGTAGAAGGAGAAGTAGATGCAATGTTAATGACAGACGTAAGATGGATTTGTGTTCTTTTTGCGATCGTGGAGGTCCTTGTAGACGCAAGACCATAGTATTAGAAGTAGGATGGTAAAAGTAGCAACGTTATGGCAGACATATGATGGATTCAAATTCTTCGCGAGATTGTTGAGATCTATTTACAATTTTGCGGCGATCGGTAATGTTGGGAGTCCCCCCTAACCCATGTCAAGAGGAGCTGAAAATAACCAGATTAGTCTGGGATATAGGTGAGTTAGGAAGCAATTCAAAAGCATATTAACATAAAGGTGGAAGTGTGGAACACTTCAGGGGAGGGCCAAATTTAACAGGATGATTTGTCCGTTGACCACTGCTGGTGTAGACCCCTGGGTGTCATGTTAGTATGAAGTAGTAATAGAAGTAGAGGTTTCGACAGTAGCAGTAGAATTAGAAGTAGAAGAAGAATAGGTTGCATTGCTGAAGTTCATCCAGTTTCTATCATTTTTATTCCTCGCTACAAAGTACCCGGAGTCATTATGTTTTCTGGTTGTCCATCCAATCTTGCATACGTCCGTACATCTGTATTTCTTGTTCTCGTAATCGCATTACCTCAAGAACCGATTGATGGATTAGCTGTCTATGATATCCACCAACACGGGTGCATAAGAGGACCATTTGAATCACAAGCTATATTGTCATTCTCACACAGGGTAAGACCACGTTCCTCCTTGAGACGCAATCGCAGCTGATGGACATCGGTGATGTCTTCAAGACCCTTGGACGCTACATTGACCGTGACTCACGGAATGCCATCAAGGGCATCCGTCTGTGCAAGGATCAGACTGCGGCAGTCTTTGATGTTTCAGATGACCACAAGGACTATCTACTGGTAAGGATCTATATATATAGTGATTTGACCGATGAGGTTTATCCTTTAAAGTGGGTGGGTAGTTGGTTTCCATGTGCAGAGAATCATAATTTACTGACAGCATTTAAAGAGCGATCATTTTTAAATTACTTTTTTTTGATGGAACTCATGCACACTGATATATAAAATAAATAAAAAGCTTACAAATTATTTTTCACCTTTCCCAGAACTCAACCTTCTCTATAAACAAAGGTAATACAAAGTTTTGGTATGGGGTCGTGTATTTGGTTCAAATGAACATATTGGAAGCGTATGCGATCCTACAATATTCACTGATCGTTGTCGCGGTCGAAATCGACTCTAAAGTTATGAAATTGTAAATAATAAACACTTTATGTTGTATAGCTCCCTCTCAAAGTCAAGATATTAACTAAGCTATAAAACAATGTTTCTTGACTAAAATCGGCCAATTAGCTATTCCCATTCGGAAATTACATACCATAACTACATATTTTGATATTTTCAGGGTCGCAGCTACCATTGTACGGCCGTAGGAGCTTTTTTGAAATTTATCAAAATTTACTGGAAGCGCCGGTAAATCTTTATATTAAATTTTTCTTGAAATCAAAAGTGTTTTAGGGGCTAAAATTTCTAGTGCTTTTAAAACATCCACAGGGGCATCCAAATGTATCAAAATTGTAAAGAATCACTATCCACCCATTTTTCAAAATTTTCTGAATAGTATGAATAGTATTACATGTTAAAGATATCATATATTTGGTAAGGTCATAGTTGGGATTTGATATACTGTTCAAGTATGTTGGTTACCACAAAATTGCTCACAATGAAATTGAAGGCATCCTGTGTTGAGCCTGACCACTTATTACATCTTTTCATTGACAGCGATTCATGTTTCATCCATTATTCACCTGTCTTCTTGGGCTCCTTAGTAGGACATAATGCCCTCCCATAGCTCATTAAACACCACTGCAAAGATTTAATTGCAATTTTTTTCTAATTTTTTTCTTTCTTGCTATTACAGTCATTATGGCAGGACACGTCTGAAGCTCAACTCACCATCGCGACAGAACTGCCAGAGCTCCTCGTCCCTACCCAGTCGGGATCCTTTGACGACCGAAGAGGAGGTGGAGGCTATGGGGGAGGAAGGGGTGGAGGATACAGGAGAGGAGGAGGAGGAGGAGGATGGGGTAACAGGAGTGGTGGGGGCGGGAGAGGTCGAGGGGGAGGAGGAGGATATGGGGGACGAGGAAGGGGAGGATGGAGTGGAAGTTACAAAAAGTTTTAAAATCTGTATCTCGCCATAGCCTTTGTATAATGTGATCATTGAACCATTCTCCTTTACTGCTAGGTAGTGTGTTGCCATTGAACAGACTTTTAAAGCCCCACTGCACTAGTTTGGTCAGGAGGGATTGGACCTCCCTGCATGGTCACTGAAAGGTGGTTATCTCATCAAATCAGCTGTCAATTAACATTAAGAAAAAGGGGACCATGGGGGACTAATGGTCACCGATTAGGCATTGTTTGCTATACAGAGGGCACAAGTAGCTATAAGTAGTGCAGTGGGGCTTTAAAGGTGTTTGCGATCATGTTGATTTTCTGATTAAGATAATCGACCTGAATTTAAGGACAAAGCATACTGTTTATGCAGTGATCGATAGCATTTTATAGACACATCTCCTTCTGGCGCAAAACTCTTCCAAGGGCAACAAGTTTCAGATTTTCAAATATAACGTTAACACCCAGGTATCCTATGGAACAGGGACACTACTGATTCAGCCAATTTGAAGGACCTAACGTACAATGATTACAATTGTCAAAAAATGTATTACTTTCTTATTATATGACCAATTTCATTCAAACTTGCACCAGTCTGTTTCTGATTTTCTGCTTTCTTTTAGAGTAGTTATCAATTGCAGTTTGATTTCCTTTTACTCAGGAAATGATGACAATTAAGTCATGGATTGGGTTCTAGTGGTCAGACATGAATTATCTCGGTTGTCCATAACAATGACAATGCTACCGATCACTGCGATTGGAATAGTAGTATTACTATCTGCTAATACAGGCTTTAAAAATACTCAATCCTGTAACACGGACCAAATCTATCCCCATGGAACAGCTGACTTGAATTCATTATGAGTTAACCCTGTCAAGACAAAATTTATTTTTAGGGCTAAATTGATTACGTCTAAATTTGCAACAATAATATTTTTCTTTTATTGCTACACTTTTGAGGTAAAAATGACTTGCATTCCTCTGGCAAATAAGTTTCCCTGTATGACGACCAAGTGTAAAACAAATGTTTGTGCTGTGAGTCAACCAATGTCCATACAAACCTCTCTGGGGTTGCTATGCAGGGTAGCCTCAGTCAGACAGGGGATAACTGGTAGCCTCATAGGGCATCCCCTGGCTTCAGATGTTTACACTGAAATCCATCAGAAATCTTGGACAGATCATCAGGGTACTCGGCACATGTGTCTTTTGATAGTAGTGGAAAAATAGGAAATATTCAACAAGTTTTATTCCCATGTCCCTTTTTAGCTTCCAGAGTTAGATACCGGTACCCTTGTATTATCTTCAAAGTAATATTGCTGTTGACTTGAACCATATAGTTTCATTTGAAATGCTGTATATTCACCAAATTGTAACCTTGATCAATGTGGGTGATATATACATATTTAATATCATGTAACAAATAATCATTTCATTGTTGCACATTTGTTGCCTCAATATTCCAACAAGTATTTTATGTAGAGATTATGAATACATTTACTTGTTTTCAAGTTGTATAGGCATTTATTTTATTTCCTCATTTTATGTAACTGGTATGAGATGACTTCATGTCTGTTTAGTATTCACATATTTCTATTTCATTTATTTCATGTTGTCTAGCAAAAAAAACCTAAGCCTGGGCATTTTAAAAGATGGCTATATTTTTTTCTCCCTTATTGATTTTATCTTTTTTTTATTTCACTTTTCTTGTGGGAGAATATCATCATAATATATATTCAAATAATTACCATCATGCTATGTCATTATCTGTTTTATTTTATTGAAAAAACAGCACACTTTATTTATTTTTACATGGCATTCCTCATTCTTATATTATGTAAAATATTCTTGTTCAAATTTTATTTCTTTTTATCCTTTTTATTTATGTGCTTTGTTTTTATGATTTAAGAAATGTTCATGGTAAATCATGTATAGCATCATTAAGGGATAACAAGAATATTTACAACTAATTAAATAGAAATAAACTCCTGTTTGTAAATACAAAGAACATATATGTGAACATGGTTTATATTGGATTGATGCGGATATGATGTATGAAATATACAAGAGTTATGAATGGAGTGTAGGAGTGCTAGATGGAATGGAGGCAGATGATGAGTGGTCAAAGACGGCTGGAGAGCCCTAGAAACTGCTCTAAAAAAGCGTGGGTGGTAGTAGTAATAATGATATTAATTTTAAAAAACGGTGCTTATAAAGCGCTTACCACCGAAGTCTCTAAGTGCTATATTTATAAAGAACAAAATACAACAATAAACAATTACATATTAAACAAAACAACAAATTACAATACATATGAAATATACATCAATGTGAACAGTGCAAGTTGATCATCAAAAGCAATTTTGAATAAATGTGAAATGGTTGACGGTCTGACAGAGTAGTCCTGTAGAAGTTTTTCAGACCCGGAAAAGCTGTTAAGTACAAGGTTTTTTGGTTGATTTGTGTTCTAGATGGGTTTTGAAGTAAATTCAGCCAGGTTGCCAGCTTGGCAACCTTGGGCAACTTTTTTAATAGCCATATTAGCATAATCATCTAATTAGCATATGTGCAATATGTAATAATGTTGCTTATCTCAATCCAGGAAGCCTGAAAACATGGATAATATGACTTTTCAAGGGTTTTATATGACAAGGAATTCATTTATGACACCAATTTTTATTTTTAAGTAATACAATTGTCTTAAATAGCATAATTAGCATAATATGTACAATATATGGACTTCATTGTCATTGTTTATCTATAAAGCCTAAAAATGGTGCAATGCAACATTGTAAATCACTTTTGAAAGATTAATCATTAATTCATGAGAAGATATTCCATGTATATGTAGTATAATTAGCCTAATTAACCTAATAATCTAATAAGCATATATGTGCAATGTGTAATAATGTTGCTAATCTCAATCTAGGAGGCCTGAAAACATGAATAATACGACTTTTCAAGTGTTTTATATGACGAGGAATTCCTTTATGACACCACTTTTTGGTTCTGAGTAATGCAATTGTCTTAAATAGCACAATGAGCATTAATGAGCGCATAAGCATGTGTACGATATATTATGGACTTCATTGTCATTTTTATCTATAAAACCTAAAAATGATGCAATGCAACATTGTAAATCACTTTTGAAAGACTAATTATTAATTGATGAGAAGATATTCCATGTAGATGTAGTATAATTAGCCTAATTAGAATGTATGTGCAATATGTAATAATGTTGCTAATCTTAATCCAGGAAGCCTGAAAACATGGATAATATGACTTATCCAGGAATTCTGCCACTAGCTTGAGCAACGTCGGGCTTGTACTCTCAATGGTTCTGGCTTTGGTTAACATAGACAGATCATAGTTCGCACTGTTGTATTCAACATCCCTGGCCTATGTACGTACCTGTCTCACCACATCATCAATTCCATCATTATCATCTGCTTTAACCATCTTCAGTGTGTATCCGACAGTCTCTCTAAATCCAAGGACTGAAGCCCAACCATCAATGCGTATGATGACCTCGTAATTTCCTAGACATTTCATGAGGTTCGACAACATTGCCTTAAGACCAAGATAACCACCACATTGGACATACGATTTGAATTGATATTCTACATATATGCTAATTAGGCATATTAGTACAATAATTACATATTAAGCCAATTGCATTACTTAAAAATAATAAATGGTGTCACAACTGAATCACTCGTCATGGAAAACCCCAGAAATTCATATTATCCATGTTTTCAGTCTACCTAGATTAATATTAGCAACATTATTACATATGGCACATACAGTGTATATGCTAATTAGGTTAATTATACGGCATTTACATGGAATATTTTCTAATGAATTAATGCGTAGTCTTTCAAAAGTGATTTACAATGGTGCATTGCGCCATTTTTAGGCTTTATAGATAAACAATGACAATAAAGTCCATATATCGTACATATGCTAATTAGCTGATCATGCTATTTAAGACAATTGCATTACTCAAAAATAAATATTGGTGTCATAAATGAATTCCTCGTCATGGAAAATCCTTGAAAAGTCACATTATCCATGTTTTCAGGCTTCCTGGATTAAGATTAACAACATTATTACATATTTCACATACAGTGTATATGCTAATTAGGCTGATTATACTACATATACATGGAATATCTTCCCATGAATTAATGATTAATCTTTCAAAAGTGATTTACAATGTTGCATTGTACCATTTTTAGGCTTTATAGATAAACAATGAAGTCCATATATTGTACATATTATGTTAATTATGCTATTTAAGACAATTGTATTACTTAGAGATAAAAATTGATGTCATAAATGAATTCCTTGTCATATAAAACCCTTTAAAAGTCACATTATCCATGTTTTCAGGCTTCCTGGATTGAGATAAGCAACATTATTACATATTGCACATATGCTAATTAGATGATTATGCTAATATGGCTATTAAAAAAGTTGCCCAAGGTTGCCAAACTGGCAACCAAGCTGAATTTACTTCAATACCCATCTAGAACACAAATCAACAAAAAAACATTGTACTTATCAACTTTTCCAGGTCATGTACATGGCATATGGTACCGTCTACTGGACTAGAGTGTAAGTTTTTGATATGTAAAGGTAGTTTGTTCCAGAGTTCAGCACAAGCTTTGCAAAAAGATAGTACTGTGCATTTTCTCTCTTTCATATTAGAAACCAATTTACTATTAATATCATTCTGCAAGACGATTACCGGTACTGATGTCCAAATTTTAGTTTTCATAATTCATACAAAATGTTGTTATCCTGCAGGGTTTTTTGTTTTATTTATTTCAAATATTTAAAAAATGGTAGCCCAATCAGCATATACACTGGTTTTCGTTGGGGCCCTTTAAAATGCAAACTATATATATACATTCCAAAAACTTGTGAATACGACAAAATTGAACATTAAATTATACAACCAACAATAACTGCATATCACTTTACAAAACATTAAAATGCAAATTTGAATATAAATCAAAACGAAATAAGGAGGAGAAAAGTTTTTCATTACTATATATGAAGGGTGAGAGTAGGTATGTGCCTCTCTAGCGTCTTCCGATTTACAAATAAACATTTGAAACAAAATGAATTAATTAAAATTAAACATTTAGAATAGAACCGTAATTGCACGCAAAATTATTTACAAAATAAATGTGGCTGGCATGATGCCACATTTTACTATCCACCTGCTCCCTTATTAGGAAGTTATATTTGATATCTTGAAAACTGATTGTGATCTGATTATGATGAGGAAGAAAAGAAAACAACATCCAGAATGAGTGGGAGTTAAAGTAATCACACCATTTCCTAATATGTCGTGCAGCAGGGTAATTGTGTGATAGAAGTTTGTTTTAATTGTTGGTATGCGTAATCGCACTAAAAGAGAGTTTCCCAAGTTAAGATGCATTGATCATAATGTGGAAGGTAGGGTTACTTTATAGGGTGAAGGATAAGGAAGAAAATTAACATTCATAATGCGTAGGAGTAAAATTGATCACACCATTTCCTAATAAGCAGTGCTACAGGGTAATTGTGTGATTGACGTTTGTTTTAATTGTGGTATGCGTAATCGCATCAAAAGAGAGTTTCCCAAGTTAAGATGCATTGGTCATGTTTTGAAAGGTATGGTAAGGGTGATGGATGGATGAGGAAGGGAAAAACATTGAATGAGGGGGAGTAAAAGTCATCACACTATTTCCTAATATGCAGTGCTGGTAATATTTGATTGACTTTTATATAATGGTATTTATTCAATAGTCATCATCGCAGCTTGATAGCTGAATTGCAAATGATCTTACAATAAAAAGTGCATCAAACTTAATTAATTAGAAACGGCGTAAAACATAAACAAATATTTCCTCATGATAATAATGGGATTATTACGATGGAACAGGAAAAAATGTTTCTATTCCAAATTAGGCTTGAAAGGGAAGTAGAAAAGGAGTAGCTGAGTTATTAGATAATAATTAAGTATACTTAATCAAGGTAAATCGTCGCTGTTTTCACGAAGTGACGGTAATGACAAAAAATTGCATTCACTTTGCGTTACGATTTTCCTCACTACCGTCACTTCGTTAATGTTTGTTTTATTTGTCGTCTTATTGACTAATCGAGCCAAAAGAGGGTGCTCCAAGTGATGATACATTGATCATGTTTAGGAAGCTAAAAGGAAGCTAGGAAATTAGTTAAATAATGTTAAGAATTAACACCTTCCTTATGCCCCATTTTCGTGTCTATATCTATTCATATTGTTTGGGGTCCATCAAGATAACCATTTGAAAAAACATCGCATGAAATACATGTAAATGCTTTTAAAGGCAACATTTCTAGGTTATTTAGGCCTTCCCCAAAAGCATTTCCGAAATGCCCCAAGAAAGTTGTTGGCTTAAAAATTGCAAAAACGCCAGCTGTAGTCACACGCGATTATCAGTGTTTCATTTCAATATTTGTCTCTTTGCTTTCTGTACTATTTCCAATGTAGTTTCCGTTTTTTTTTTCCTCTCCTTTCTCCCCCTTCTGTTATCACCATCATTATCACATATCAGTCATCATTGCTGCATCATCTCTCTCTCTCTCTCCCTTTCACTCTCTTCTCCTCTCCTCTCATATTCTCTCTCTCTCTCTCTCTCCTTCTCTTTCTGTTCCCCTTCTCATTCTCTCTCCCCCCCCCCACCTCTTCTCTCTCTCTCTCTCCCTCTCTGGCACACTCTCTTCTATTTTCACGCCTCTCGCCGCCCCCCTCTCTCTCTCTTTAATCTCCCCTCTTCTCTCCCTCTCTCTCCTCTCTCTCTCTCTCTCTCTCTCTCTTTCTGTTCCCCTCCTCATTCTCTCTCCTCCCCCACCTCTTCTCTCTCTCTCTCTCTCCCTCTCTGGCACACTCTATTCTATTTTCACGCCTCTCGCCGCCCCCTCTCTCTCTCTCTTTAATCTCCCCCTCTTCTCTCTCTCTCTCTCTCTCTCTCTCCTTCTCTTTCTGTTCCCCTTCTCATTCTCTCTCCCCCCCCCCACCTCTTCTCTCTCTCTCTCTCTCTCCCTCTCTGGCACACTCTCTTCTAATTTCACGCCTCTCGCCGCCCTCCCCTCTCTCTCTCTTCAATCTCCCCCCTTCTCTCTCTCTCTCTCTTTCTGTCCCCCTTCTCATTATCTCTCCTCCCCCACCTCTTCTCTCTCTCTCTCTCTCTGTCTCTTCCTCTCTGGCACCCACTCTTTTATTTTGCACGCCTCTCGCCGCCCTCCTCCCCTCACACACTCTCTCTCTCTCTCTCTCTCTCTCTCTCTCTCTCTCTCTCTCTCTCACTATCTGTTTCTGACATAGCTCCATTCACATTTTCTAGATCTTCCTTATGCACTATTGTTCACTATGTTTATCACGGTCATAAAAAGTCGAATAAAAATGAAACAAAATCCAGTCGTATTTGCAAAGGTATCAAAAAGTTTATCACAAAATCTAGTTTTAAAAGTAAGTAATACACACATTGTATCCTTAGAAAAAGTACCTCAGAAAGTACATTAGGGAAGTACTGCAAACTTACAGATGCGAACAGAGAAACAATTATACACAGTACAAAACAAAGAAACAATTATACACAGTACAAAACAAAAGCAATACAACACTAACATCATAATACCATGAACATGTACGGCAACATACATTTCCAAATTTCAAAGCAGATCCATGAAGGTAAAGTATCTTTAAAAGATTTCGATGCAAATTCAATTCATTTTGCAATACTATCCAGAATTAAACATCACTACATCATTCAATAAGCATTCCAGTTATTCGCAATTACAGCACAAAATTTGATAGTAATACATTACTAAGTACATGTATAACAGTATTAAGTAGAAATGTAATAATTCATACATTTGAGATCAAGTTGAATCTTTTTATGAATTGAAGCGTGCATTGAAATTACTAAAAATGACGATTTACAACCAAAGTTTTTTGCATGAAAAAAAGCCGTGTCATTTTGGTTCACAATAAATGCTCCCTATTCCAGCTAAGTTGCCATCACCATTAATTAATACGCATTGTATACGAAGTAAAATGAAAATAAGTTATAAAGACCTTTTAAAGGTTACTTAAAACGCGTACCACACACTGTATGGCCAATCTTAAATTTGTATTCCCCATTCTATTTATAATTCGGAAGAAAGCAATCAAAATTAATTAGATCTTTACAAAAGAACAGAGAGACAACAGAAGTACACTCGTCTATAATTATAATCAGTCGTTAAAGCACACGAGAGGGCAACTGGCAGTAGAAGAATATTGATTTACAAAATATTGTAACTATTGGTGAAGCTGTTACTTTTAAAGGAAATAGTGCATAGATTTAAAGGAATCGGTGATATTCCGTAACTAGAATATACGTTGGATAATATGCATTGTGGTAAAAAGAGCACATGCATGTTATTGGAAATAGTCCCAGACGATAACGGCTCGAAAATGAATATGTGGGACTATATAGTGTGACATTATTTCTTCGCGAACTCCTTTTGTGACCACCGCACACGCGGGGCCCTGGTGGGATAATAATGACCATAGACGAGGCATGAATAAACTGTCACGAAGACTGATCGAACGAAGACATAAATATTTCCTTTAACTCTCACTGACGATTTAATGCTCTGACGTTTAACGAGCCACTTCTTACTCAATAAATCGCTACTCCTACGCCTTCAAATTTGAAGGATAGCTTATTGGGCGTTGACCGGAAAACTTGGTTTAATATCATTCTTTCATCATCCATTTGGTATCTGTTTCGAATCCAGAATAGGACATTTAATACACTCCTTGTTTAATGTTTATTTCACAGGTATTCTTTTATAGATCGTTCCGAAATTAGACGCGGATGTCATGCTTTCGATGCGCACAAAACATAAATTATTTCCTCCTCTTCTCGCCGGCCCACTCCCTTAAATACATGTCACACGCGTGGTGATGATGATGATTAAGTACAATACATTGAAGTATATTGAGTGGAAAGTGGCGCCAACCGAGTGTCATTATTCCAACGAAACTAATAATCATGCACCTAATTTTAGCTGATACATGTATTTAATTGCTATATCACATAGAGCAAAGCATTCATGTCCAGCAAGTTGATTTATAAATGATACGATGGGCATCACTTTGCTGAATATACGAGTTATGGAGAGGGCTTCAAATAGGAGGAGGGATGAAGGAGGAGGGATGAAGGAGGAGAGAGAGTGGGAGGAATGACGGAGAACGAGAAACGGAAGCAGAATAATAACGAAGTGACTCTTCCTTATATGTATCGAATGCCCAAAATGTTTACAGTCGATGACTAATCAAAACAAATGAGAGCGAACAACAATGGAGAATATATATACAAACAAAACGATGACGCTAAAAAACATCTATAATACTATATGTACAATATATATATTTATAACAGCCCATGTCAAACATGGCCATAAGTACAACATACACATGAGATGTCAAAAATAACGAACAGTCTGTCGAGAGCCAGAAGGGCGTTAACTCTGTGTAAAATTATGAGTTAATTTCCTTCTGGCTTTCAGTCGACGATTTACGATGTAAATCTTTTATAAACATTTCAAAATCGCAATCTAATTTCAATTTGAGATGAGCATTTTCAATCGAATAAACCACCACAATAACAACATTTTCAAAAAAATCATTTTGCATGATATTACATAATTATACATCGAGTCTCGCAGAAATAAAGACGAGCCTTGTTCATCTTAGAAAAAACTTTCTGATCAGAGCAGAAGGGCATTAACTCCTAACATTTTTCACAGCGTTAAAGCCCTTCTGCCCCCCAACAAACGAAACACTCTGCTACTATACTCTGCAATCGGTGGCTTTGAACAGTTTGCATATATCATAATCAATTACAAATCATTGAATGAATATATTTCCTCAAAATAACAACATCACTAAACCATAGCTATTCGTTTCTTTAGAAGGGAATGCGATCGAAGACTCTAATCTACTCTACAAGAAAATCTACATGCCTTGTAAGTACTCGTACTACTGCGCAATTAATTCTGCAGAGAAGAAACAGACACACTTAAAATGAATTTGATTCTAAGAGCATTGTGATAATCATGACCAATCAATTTTTTTTCTACAACAAAAAATAATTTGTGAAAATCACGAGACTATTAAAAGGGATAGCATAATGTACGTGGATGTGTAATTAAGGTTATTTCAGTTCATGCACTATACTTTCAAGTGTACTAATTAAAAACAGTTCCGTATCCGTTTGTATCATCAAGAAAGTGCACTATGATCATGCACTAATCCTTCATCCTCGACCTATAGTAGAGAAACTGAACGCGTCGTACAAGATCAAATTTCAGTCAAGAAACGATCAAATGTCATAACAAAACCGAGACTCATGACGAAAAATAACATGTTGGAAGTATGATGAATAAAAAAAGTGTTCTTCAATTACTGTGATATTGATGGAAGACATTTATCACGGAAGTACTTTTAATGTCAACGAGATTTTGACTAGGTTTCTTTTTTCAATCACAGATTAGAAAAGGAGGCACATTGTGCACAAACTTGTAAAAATCCACGGCAATCTATAATAATACGGATTAAGGCATAATGTTGCTTTCGTCGGAAGTTCAATCGTGAATTCACACAGAGGAAGTAGGAATTGTTTTTCACATCAAACCTTTTGAGAAGTATCCGCCGAAACTGAAGACGATGTCGCTCCTTGCCTTGCATTCAAACATTTTTTTTCCCACTTCAAAAAGCTGTTAGATAGTGTCGATGTTAAAGCACTCACAGGTTTTGAAAAGTACGGAAGAACACTCAAAATAGTTTTTGTTTGACGCATATGAAATCCAACTACACTTTCATTTTTGCGAATCTCGTCGCCACTTGAAAAAAAGTTTCGGAGTTAAAAAATCACACATCCATCGTCGCTGTCATCATGTTTCTTTGCAGCCACATCTTGGAAAATATGCACAAGCGGGACAAGATTGTGAGACGTTTTAATTATTTTGCTTTCCAACGCCTTCCTCCAAAGATGTCTTGCTTCGATCGAGCTCAAATTCAATGCGACGATCCGCCGTAATTCCAGTTCGATCTGGTTTAAACCACCCTCGACTGGTTCAAACTAGGTGGTAGCGTGACGGCTTGCACTTAAAAACACTTCATCCCGAGTTCAATTTCAAGTTTATAAGGACTCAGAGTTGATGAAGGAGATAGTTGGTTGGGTCGGCATATGCACCTGTGATGTAAAAACAAATGAATTAAAGAAAAACAAATCGGGATTAGAGATGATTTGCCAGTATGATTAGTATTTTGATTACAATTTCTATGGGTGACGAGAATCTAATATTTCCATTTCTTTCAGTTTCTAATCAATTGGTCTCTTTGTCATTATCGTTAATGAGAACTTGGAACAGTAGTGTTTTTTCCTTCCTTGTAGCATTAGTGGGTTTTCCTTCCTTGTATCATTATATCCAAGGTTATCTTTTCGTGATCTAGTCTGTTTTGTAATCGATAGATTCTAACAAAAATGCACTTTCACTGAAGAAAAAAAACCAGTCAAATACTAGGCAAAAGCTATTTAATAAAAACATTGTTGATTTGTTCATAAATAAACACTTGATTTCAAGTATGCAACTTTTGGGGAACTTGTCCAGATTCAAAAGATGAATTAGAACTCAATTTACTTCCTTCTTATAAGTTTATTGCGACCTTTGATTTGTAAGCTGAACCAGATCGCAAAGGCTTTCTAAATATCAACCTCAGGCAATTTAATAAGCTCGTCCACCGACTTTAGAAACGTGTGAACATTACAATAAGTTATAAAGCAAACCGAACTTGATTTCTATGGGAAATGCAATAGAGAATTTAAATGAGATATTTTTTTTTAAAGTCTTTGCGACCATCATGCAGTAAAAAGACATTTAAGAAGGGAACGTTTGGATCACATAATTTTGATATGTCCTTATCGCGAGGACTGAAAAACGATCAAAACTACTGATATTTACCTTGATGTTGTGCATTGAGACAGATAGAAGTTTGTTGAGCAAAGCCATTGAGCATGTGGTTTTGGTGCTGGGGCGCAGCCTGCATGGAATGGTGGGTCTCGGGTTCGACTTTGATGTGGGTCATCATAGGGGTTTGTTCGTAACCATTGACATCCCCAGCCATCACTCCTGAGGAAAGATGAAAATGTGAAGAGAAATATGTCAGATAAGGAGAAATTGTTGGTTTTACTGGATCATAACCTTGCTCAACTTTAGTTCCGTCATCATTCAATTTAGTTTCAAATTATTTATGTTTCCAACAAAACATTACAAATCAATTATAAACTTTTACAACAATTTAGGAATACATATTAGAAACAAAGGGATCCACTAAAAAGCCATGCTTGTATAAGTGTGGACACCTCAAATGATACTTAGGCATAATGAGTAATCAAATTAACAAGTCCGTAACTACAAAAGGTACTACAAAATAGGGAAAAGGGGGATGCCAACAGAGACGAGAATGGGACAAGACAGTACTTTACATGACAAAGATAGGAGATACTGATAATTTCAAATACTGAAACTTTCAACTTTCAATTGAACAAGATGATTTTAAGCGCAATAGTTCGTCTTTTTGGAAATGTGTCATTTTGAGGAGAAGACTTACTGTTATTTGTCATGGCCATTGTCTGGTAGTTGTTCCCCCCGAAGAATGCCTTCTCGTCTTGATGTTGCCTCTGGTTGCTCCAGCAGGAGCTGTAATCCATGGTGGCGTCCAGGTTGTTGTTCCCGTCCAGCGGGGACATGCTCCGGGAGCTGTGCCCAGGACTCTGGTCTTTCAGCTCCATCACCAGCTGAAAAGAGAGACAAAAGAGGACAAAAATGGAGAAAGGGTAAATTCAATGTTCCTGTTTGGGGTCTGCTGAGAACCCGAAGGGCTTTAAAGGCATCGTTTAACAATGTTAAATCTGAGATACATGGCCCTACGTGTTATTAGTGTCTGTGATAATTATGGTGTAATATTGAAGCCTCAAAAATATTGCGCTTCCAAATGATCATGAAGTGCCTCAAAAAAGTATAAATCTTTGAGTGACCGGTTTTGCCATAATAATTTTCTTCAATAGAATGTAGTGTTATAAAAACTGTTAGGAAAACGAAAATGAAATTTCGATTTCCAATTATAAATATCTTGATATCTGACAGGCGATTGGCTTGTAATAGTCATGGGATTCCTAAAGGTTTATAATTATTATGATTGCAGCATGAGCTAAATCCAGGATTTTGTTTCAGAATCTGAGGCAATGTTACCGAGTCAGGTCAACTGTAGTTTGGGGTTGAATTAAATTTGCTATCAGAATACCGTCCATTTACTTTTAATTGAGTTAACGCCCATCTAGCTCTAAGCGGACATTATTGTATTTTAATATTTTTAATTGTTAACTAACTTTTTTATGTGGACATCGAGTGTCTCAAGAAGTGGTTTAGAGGCATGCATTTATCGGCAAATTTGGAGGTATTGTGTTTTTGTAATTACAAATTTGCCGGCATCGCTCGTCGGTAATTTTGGATTCGCACCTCCAATTCAAAGTGTCATAATTATGGGCGCCCCAGAATTTGGATTGTGAGGTTTTGTTTTTTTCTTTATTGCATGAGTGCAGTAATTTAAGAGGGATCGGTACCAAGAGGGGCACCGTGTTTGGTTTGGTTAACTAGACCTGATTGAAGTCAATGGGGATTTAAAGTGCTTCAGTTAGTTCAATTTTGTTGAGGCAATCACTTTTTTTGCCTACCTATCACCACCAACATAAACAAATATGCGGTTGAATGCTCTCCACTTTTCCCACCTAAAGACCAGAACACAAGTACTATCAAAACAGGACTCTCGCTAACCAAAACAAATCAAAATCGACATTTTCACCGGCTCTCAAGACTCTCTCACGCGATCCCCTCATTAACTCCAAAAATTGGTTTATTTTGTTCACCTGACATTGTAAACTAATCACTTGGATAATTAACTCACAACTCCGTGCTAAAGTCTATATTCTTTCGGAAGTCGGCGCTGGGGCGTACCGCTTTTAGTAAAACAACCTGATATTGGAATGATTTTGGATAAATTTCTCATGATTTAAGCACCTGTATGAAGGTGTTGTCGGGACAGGAAGTATGGACTACTAATTGTAATTAATTAAAGGTAATCAAGAGAACAACAGGGGCTGGAAAAAAGTAGAGACGGAAACTCAAAAGTTGTTTTTAGGCGGCCGGAGGTGAACGATTCAAACAATATTTATGATCCGTTCATTAATAGTGATTAAAGTGTCATTATGTTAATGATACACGAGAGAAGGAAGTTAACATAATCTTCCAATGTTTATAACGACCCTTTCTGTCAGTAGGATATAGTTGGTTTTAAAACTTCTTATGCAAATAAACCAAGGTTATTATATGCATCCATTCACTTAGTAATCACGCAAGTAGCCGACGATGTTTAAATTTACGATGTTAGAATAGACCATTCTTTGACTCAATACTTCTCTTACATAACTTAACATGATAGAAATAACAGAAAATAAGAAACATTCTTCATGTGATAAGAATGAAAGTAAATACAGTAAAACCTATCTATCAAGGCCACCCAATTTTTAATCATATCATATCGTTAATAGTTTTATTTTTTTTAGTGGATCAAAACCTATACTAACGACATTCCTCAAGCAGTTTATGTGTGTTTTATGACATTTAAAAATATGAGTTGAGTTGTTTTCTTACATTTGCTACTTCTTCCTCCGACATCCTTCCGCACGAATCGCTGTCACTTAGATCATCTGAAAGACGAGGGGTATAGAAACAAAGACATAAATAATTAATAAGAACGAACGGATGAGAATTAAGCAGAGAGGGATAAAAGTAGGCAATAAATAAACAATTCGGGAGGAAATTAAGCTGTAAACTTGAGCTCGTGGGAAAATATGGCTCTTCAAGTGGAATTGGGAAACTGCGAACACCGCTGCGGCTTCCGCAGTAGCTCAATGCTTCAATCCCATGTTATTCCTAAATGTATTTATTAGCTGAATCCATTGCACAGGCCTCAACGTTAGCCCACCTGTTTTATTTCATACAGGCTATTCATTCCAGGGAGCAGCGAAAGGATTTCCTCCGCAATTGTTTGTCTAGGCCGGATCACGGTCAAAGTGGCGGAAATTTCGGTGATGCATTTAAACTCTTAACCGCTCAAATCATAACAATGTGTAGAAGCATTAACAAAGCCAGTGTTCTGATTAATTTATGACGAAGCAATTAATTGATGAAACAAAAGTGCTTAGCTAGCTGTTGTTTATCCAGATAATGGTTCAAGTAACAGTCACATAGCTTTTGAAAACAAAAAAACCTAATAGGTTTGTTTTAAATGCATTCTAAACCGAAACATATGTGGTTGTAAACAAAATTGAATCAAAAGAGTTTCAAAATAAGTTGAAGTTTCTTCTACTCCTCTTTTTCTTAAACATGAAAATTATTTGAGCTTCCGATTATGTAGATTTAATTCCCATATCCTTAACTTCATTTTTAACTCACCGTGATAGCTTTCGTAGCCCATTTGATTTTGATGACTCATCTCAAATCTTGCCTCCATGTTAAACCCTAACCGGTATTGCATCTCCTGTCTATTATTCATGACCACTTGGTACGGCGGCGGCGGCGACTGCGGCGTGCTGGCCGGCGTCGACGCTACCGTGCTGCACGGCGAAACGCACGTGCTGTGTGTCATGGTAGACGAGTAGGCATTCGGTGAAGCGAAGTGGTGGCCGTTGGTGGGCATCGAGTACGGGGTCGTCGGCGACTGGAGGGTGGATGGGGGCGACATCGGTGACAGCAGCGCATGGGAAGAGACTGTCGATGATAAACCGTTTGGCGGGTTGAAAACGCACTTGACGTTGAGGCTCATTCGATCTATTAAAAAAAAAGATACGGAAGGAAAATGTTTATGTTATTAAAATACTGCCGTATATTTTCACCGATATGTGTATCTTTTGATTTTAAAGGTTTTCTTACACATGATTCATGCTCTTCTCAAACTGGTTGAATACTATGGACTTGAATTACTGATGTGTATTCTGAGTACACTGGTAATTCCAGCGTCTGTTGACGATGTTTAAAACCACTTTACAGAAATGAAATTACAAGGTCTTCACAATTCGTCACGAAACAAATATGATACGCATAAGAATTACATGTCAATTTGATTTGATAGAGAGAGGTAGGGTAGCGAATTGGGAGTATGAATGATGAAGAATGAGAAAAAACCACGAACGAATACTCAGAGAAACTATTACTAAGGAGAACTATGATTAACATAGGAAGGACGCCAAAAATGGCTAAAAAAACCTAACAATTTCGAGGAACTGTAAGGCCAGAAGAGTTTCCATGAAAATGACGCCTCGGACTACCCCGAGGGAAATAACCAATCGTTTCCTACATTCTCGGACTACGCACTTGTAAACGTCCGCCCGTCCTATACCAATGGTCCGACCTAGCAGTTACAGACAAGGTCCGGTTTTGGACGATGAAGACGAAAAATACTAACAATTTTTAGCTTTTTCATTATATTTACGTAGGTTTAGAAGAATCTCATAGCAGAAATGTCCCTTGAAAAAGATTTGCTCTTCAGATTGCCACATATACAAAATATGACGAGGAATGGCTGAAACATTTGGCGCAAACTTTAATGCCACATGGGTGTACCCTATGTGCAAGTACATTGGATTTTCAATAAGAGGGGGCCTGCAAATTCTTATTATTTAGATGATTCCAAAACCCCACAGTAAACACCACTTATGTACAATCGATAATGTGAAAGCATGACCTGGGCGTGTTTCACAAAGATCCTAAGTTGAACCTAATAATAATTATTATGGAAAGTCGTTAGCATCTTTACAAATATTTTGTAAAAGTTATTTCAAAAGGCATAAAATGTTTATTCAAATCATTCATATTTTCTATTATCAAGGAGATTTCATGTTTTTAATGTGGAATTTATGAAAAGTCTAAAATACTTGAATATATTTTATTTTAAGGCTACAAATGGCTCTACATAATGTTTAAGTCCAACTTAGAGTTAAGTTCGACTTAGGATCTTTGTGAAACGCCCCCAGAACTCAAATAACTCCTACTCCTACGTCCTACGAAACCATGCAATACAACAGCTAGCACAGTGGGATTCCCTCAACACAATCAGCGCCTTAGGTACTCTCCCGACACCATCCGACCCATGGAAAAAACAGATATTCTTAGAAATATTGATAGTCATATCCATCCGTAATGCACTGTATTTGACCCAATTCGTTCAGTAATTCTACTTTTTAAAGGAAGTAATCCATAGTACTTGTCCTTTTTTCCACGAAATGGACTAAAAATACTGCCGAAGTACACGCTATGGATGAACAGGCGTCACGATTGATATACCTTGCCGTTAGGTTGGCTTCGAGGCCATTTCACTTATATCAAAGTACAGAACAACTGAACAATGTTGCAAATTATTGCTAATTAATGGCTATTCTCACCTCAAATCATAATAAGGAAATGCATACGGGAAATTCGGTTTATTAAATTGGATCATTGTTCTACATTATTGTTTTTAAAAGCTTATAGGCCCAGCGTCGTGTTTAATCGTTGAATACGGAAAAAACGTTGACTGCAAATGAAATATGTTTTATTTGGTCATGTGCTCACCTGATTTTGAAGCCCTTATTTCAGCTATTCTTTTATTTAAGAGGTCCTCTGCTAATTCATCGCTGGCGTTCGATAGTCTGGTTACAGAGGGATGCTCAGCTTTAAGACTCTTTGGGAAATAAAACGACAAGAAAGTGTAAAAATTCAAGATTACATTGATCACCGCAGAGATATGGCGAGAAAGGCCATAGTACATCTCATGTAAAACTCATGTCGAAAACAAGTATTATTTCACTCATCTTACTCCGTTTCAGTTAGTATTTCAGTTTCTGACTTAAGTCCCAACTTGGTAATATCTAAAGAGTTTATTAATACCACAAAATGTAAGAATAACATTTAAAGGAGATAATAGATTTTACTTTAGTTAGTAAAATTAAAGGCAAGAATGAACAGAAATGATTTAGTAACAATATTCCTAGCGTTGTTTAAACCAAAATGTGTACGTCTAAACTTGTTATGTTTGTTGCTATATTACCCAAAACAACAATTATGTAAAATTACCATAATTATTGATTTTAATTGACAACAAATTAATTAAGTCTTACCTCTGCGGAAGGGATGATGAGGCTGTTTCTTTTTCGCTGTTTCTTTTCCGTTTTGTTCCCTCCGCGGGTTTTGGATGTACTTCTTTGCCTCTTAATCACTTTATTTGCACCTAATTAGAAGAAAAAACATCATTATTTAACGATGTTAGAGATTAGTTTTCCCTCAAGTGTTGTCAGAGATAACATTTCCCGTAGCATATTTTAGTAATATCATGACAGACTTGATCATTAAGATAATTGATCATCTATAATTACTTAAATATCACTCCAAGTCATTGCTTTGTTGAACTAGTTAATTTTGTGAAGCGGTAGATTAAGTCGTAGTGGAGTATTATTAACTATTAAAGTTGTGCTTATATCCAGTAGCTCCATTCCAAATATTTTCTCATCTATCAATACAATTTTGTCAATTATAGCCTGTTTTAATTAAAAGCAATAGGACAGCGGACATAGTCTCAGAGAGATGGATCGGGGGCCAAAAGAAAGGGAGATAAAAAGAGATAACGAGTATGAGAGGAATAAGAATAATTTCGGGAAACCACGTTACAAGCATTTTGCTTTTCGGTGTTCCAAACCATATTTTATTTACTGTTTTAAATTGATATACTGTTATTTTTTTCATTTGATGTTATTTTATATGGTTGAATCAATAAATACAATAAATACAAGAGAGTTGCGTATTGAGAGAGAAACCATAGAAAGCTCACCTTCAGCATCTCGACTCTGTCTCTTCGACTTCTTCGGGTGAAGACGGTAGACCTTGTAAGCGTCGTTGCCCTTCGTCTTCCCTTTCTCTCTCAGCTCTTCGATGTCGGGAAGGGAGTTGATGGCGCACCGAAAGTTGGCCTTCCAAACCTTCGGGTTGGCCTTCGGGCAGTCGGTCGCGGGGTCGTATTTCTCTGTAGGAAAAAAAAAGAAAGGTAAAAGACATGATTAGGATATTTTTCCATTTCAATCAGTGCATGCTATCATTGACTTGCTATAAAAATCGATTCAGCATGTTGACATTGAATGACATCGTAGTTGGCTCTTTTTCCGTGAACGCTTTTATTAACCGGTAAGTGGTATGATTTTTCTAAAAATTTATATCATCATGCTGTTGAAATCAAGTAGGCATAATGTTAGCAGATAAGAAACTTAAGGCTTTAAGTACTTTCCGAAAGACTAGCGCATGAACTTGGTTTCGAGACCGGGGCTATCCGATTACGATACCATAGCTCTACCACTGAGCTTATCATTAAGGTATCCCACACATTATTCAAGAGAAGAAAAAAATGGGTGGCTGTTTATTTTTTTCCATTGTTATTGTTGGTTTGTTTGTTTTTGTAATGCGGAGGTTTAAAAAAAGGAACATATTGTGATGATGCAGAAGGATATATCTCCAACCTTGGGGCAGCATTGAGGGGGTGGCTGTGGGCTAGAAAACTAAGATGTGAAGGAGAGAGAGTTCTCGGAAAATAATTTATCCACCCCCTCTCAAATATAAATTACCCCTATCATTATGCGTGGGGTCCTGCTCATACGGTACATTATTGCAGCTGCCCCCCCCCCCCCAATAATAATAATGGCATTAATATTGTACACTGCAGCGTTTGATGCTAATAAATAGGTTTTAACCCCCTCCTTCCATCCTAAAAATTGATCGACGCCCCTGTCCTCGTACACCCCTTCACCAGATGTTGGAAATATCGCATCACTTTGAATCATTCCCCACCATATTTCATTCAAATGGAATGATTCAACGCCCAGTTATCTGCATACCGGTCCTGGGCGGCGGGGCGCTTGATCCCAACCCCGCGCTCTCGAACCCAGCTGCGCCCCTCATTCGGTGCCGGCCACCAGTCGGTGAAAATCTTGGAAAAATGTCACCCGGGTTAAGTTGATTTCCAACATTTAGGTCATGATGAATTTCGCTGCTCCCGCACGCTTTTGAAGTCGCCATGGCATTAACAAGGTGATAAGGGATGGAAAGTGTTGAATGATTGACAGCAACTAAACGACTGTGGATGACTCAAATACGCGTGGCGCGATTATCACCATTCTTGTGTAATGATTGTATTCTTGCCTCATACATAAAGCTATAGTATGATAAACTTCTTGTTCTATCTCTCCAAGTATAACACAAAAATCATTGTACGCTTTTAGAAAAGGGTAACACTATAGTTGACAGTTTCAGTGGCCTACAAAAAACTGATCTCATTCACAAAAATGTATTGTCGACAGAATAAAGAAAATAAACCGCAGTGGAACGATGATTCAACATTATACATTTGAAATTTGCAACTTCTTTGTCTAGGATATACTATTATGATATTTTTGCTTCATATGCCTCCCATTTATCTTGAAGAAGCTTAGATTGCACCCTTCACGTAATCGAAGAAAGAAATATGACATTAAAAAATCCATGTGGATTTGTATACATTAAGAACTATAGCATGCCAAATATATGTACTTTATTTTCATTTGCCATGATTTGTGTGTGTGCGTGCGTGCGTGTGTGTGTGTGTGTCTGTTATTGTTCATTTTCTATCCAGGCTCTCTATATCTTTGAGGGAATTCACTGTTTCTCTCCCCTTATCAAAAATGACACAAAAGAAAGCTCTTCTCGAAACCACTCGTCTTCAAATTACCAAGAAAACCATATGTCGCCTGTCATGTAAATCTACATATTACCGTCAAAACAATTACTTATGTATAACCATACTCGTGGGCGTAAGAATTGGCGTACTTTGGTTAAGATAAGATCCTCCAATATATTTCCAAGGCGTGCATCCCCTGGGGAGGGGAGGGGGTCAACCCTCCAAACGCTACATTCGCGCCGTTTTACTCACACTTGTACATTCATTCAAGAGCAATTTCACTTCTACGACGTAGTCTTGATTTTGAAACCCTTTCACAGATTGTGAGTTGAACTTGTAATAAAAACTGGTAAAAATGTACAAGCAAGAAGCTATACTCTCTCAAAACAAACAAACCAGAGAGGAAAATAAAACGGTAAAGAAAAGTAGGCACGTGACCTGTAACAGCTGCTTTATTTTCGGAAACTGTAAACTGGTGAGTTGTTTTTATTCTCTCACTCTTGTCCTACAATGTCGTTGGACTTAGGACTTGGACTCAAATTCAGATTCATAATATAGATGCAGTGATAGTATATTAGAGTGTATAATCATACGGTCTACATGTCATGTGTATAACACAGGTTTGCGTTTTGCACAAAGTAATTTTCTCAAACTGTCACTCTTTGTCTTGTTCATCTTTGTTCTTTTTTATGATTTTTTTTTTACTTGTTCCATGCCAGCAGCGATAGTAAATGGTTTATGGCACAATCATTATTGTGTCAGGACTATTCTACCACCATTCTTCTCTCTGTCAACGCTTAAACAAGCATCGGGGCAGCTAAGGAATGTGAAAAGAAGAAAGGGTTTTATTTTCTACCTTAACCACAAACTCTGGGAGAATTATACCAGCTGCGCGCCCTTTTCTTTACTTCTTTATTTCTTTCTCTTTGATGTCCTTTTACTTTGTATGTGGTTCCACTCTCCGTTGTTCGCTTTATAACAAGGTAAAGTATGTTAAACCATCATACAGGTCACTGATGGCGGGGGGGGGGGGGGGTAACCAGGCCCTGTCCCCATAAAACCCAAATGGGCATACCTTAAAAATGATGCCCCTTCCAAATTCCGCCCTAAAAAGCATCTGACGATATTTATACTTGTTATATTATCAGTGTGATTATTGTATTTGCTTATAAGATTATTTTCAGAACTGACCCCCCCCCCCCCCCTTCCTTAAAATCCTGGATACGCCCCTGATAGATGTTGGCTGTTAAAACACAATCTGTCGCATATCCATTGGTGGTTATACTTACAGGTTAAATTCTTTTCTTATTCTTTTCTTTTTTTTTTTCCTTGGGTGGGGGGGGGGGGGGTCATTTGTTACAATGGGCCATAAGATCTTTGGTTTTTATACAACATTTTGAAATTGTATAGGCCTGCTGGCTATGGGGCATGTATGTGTGCTTATATGTGGTGCGTGTGCGCGTGCTGGTGTGTGGTGTGAAGTAGTCTTCACCTTATACTTTGCGAGCAATTTTTATAGGCCTTTAATAATTATGTAATCCAAAGCGATGTACATGGGCAAATACGGGGAACATTTTTCACTGTTGAAAGACGGGAGAGCGTTAACCCTATACAAAGTGGTGTGAATTATACACCAGTATATACTCAGCAAACGTGTGAATTGTCTGCATTTGAGGTAAGAAAGACACACTTGACGCAGACAACATTTATGATAGCATTTCTCAAATTCTAGATAATGCCGGCGCAATCAAACAGAGCAAATAATGGGCATTGGGTCGCATTTAACAATCCGATTGCACCTCGTTATTTTGATAATAGGGTTTGTTTGCAGAGACTACGTGCAATGTCACAATGACAAAGATTACACGCCCACGCAGAAGTGCACAGTCGTATGAATGGAATGTAGAGGTCGATTAGTTATGTTCAACGTGTATAATGTGTGTCGTTACACACGCGTAATAGTTCCTTTGAAATTTATTAATTTACTCACCGCACCTGACTTCTTGAATTAATAATCGTAAAGATTTTAACATCCCTCTCTATTTGATATTCTATTTTTCAATGCTATAAAAAATTCGACGTAATTCAGTGGGTGAAATATTGCGCGGTTTCGCAGTGCACTGATTTTGCAACATGATAGTTCGACTGAAACCAATCTGAATACATGTATGTATGTATATTTGTAGAGGGTGCGTGTGGGTTTGTGTATGATGTATCTATATATATTATGAGAGTAAAGTGACACAAATTATTTTCCTTCTTCAATTTCTCACATTATACTATATACCAAATATATATATATGTTTCACACATACACACACGCATACAAACATGCATGTATAAATCTCCCTACGTTTGATCTGTTAGTTGACCAATCATGTATGTAATTTTGTTAATGCTGAACCCCTAACTAGTTATCTGAATCACTGAATCCATTTATACCGATTCGATTCATTTAAATCCAAAATTGAATTAGAAATGAACATGAGCCATATTGAGAGAATCGAAACACCTGTTCCATAATTCTTCCGTTTCAGATAATTTGGGGTTAATAAGTTTAAGGACGCATAACGTTGGCTGGTTGGTATGGAAGTGGGAGGGTGGGATATTCAGATGAATACCCCTAAACAATCCTGTACCGTCCTAACTTTATTATTCTTCAGTGAGATCAAACAAAATCAGAAATTGAAAGTCAAATGTCTCAAATTGTTGGTGAATTCATACAAAGCTATTTTAGCCGATATTCCTCACTAACATCCTGTTTCTTTTCCATTATTGCTACTAATTCTTTCACTTTGTTATGATATTGATACATAGTTTTGAAGATTCCATACCGGGGACCTGCATGTCTCCAACCCACTCATGCAAAGCTTCTATACCATTTTCATATTCTATCAATCGAGTCAGGTGATTCGGCACGTGATCTCAGTGTAAATAAAATTTAAATGGCTGATGAATACAGTTTGACAGTAAATGCGGTGGACAAAATAAATTTTTCCTCTAATTAAAACCCTTTGAATTTTCTGTATAGGTGTCTACTACGTAGTTGCCATTTTCAGATGAATTTTCTACAAACAAACAAATATATCTTTCTTAGAACTCTTCTTGGAGCATAAAGATATGAATAGATCTAAGCAATTTTGATATTAAGTCAATAAGCTCTTTGCGATGCCAGAATTTATACAGTCTAAACATCATCGTACAAATGTAATGTTGTAGATAGGGAACAAGGTACAATAAATTAAGCTCAGTTATCACATTCATTGACATTTCCAACGTATAGTCGTCTACGGCAGTTTTTGTAAAATAAAATACTCGCA